GTTGTTGTTGTTGTTGTTGTTGTTGTTGTTGTTGTTGTTGTTGTTGTTGTTGTTGTTGTTGTTGTTGTTGTTGTTGTTGTTGTTGTTGTTGTTGTTGTTGTTGTTGTTGTTGTTGTTGTTGTTGTTGTTGTTGTTGTTGTTGTTGTTGTTGTTGTTGTTGTTGTTGTTGTTGTTGTTGTTGTTGTTGTTGTTGTTGTTGTTGTTGTTGTTGTTGTTGTTGTTGTTGTTGTTGTTGTTGTTGTTGTTGTTGTTGTTGTTGTTGTTGTTGTTGTTGTTGTTGTTGTTGTTGTTGTTGTTGTTGTTGTTGTTGTTGTTGTTGTTGTTGTTGTCGTTGTTGTTGTTGTTGTTGTTGTTGTTGTTGTTGTTGTTGTTGTTGTTGTTGTTGTTGTTGTTGTTGTTGTTGTTGTTGTTGTTGTTGTTGTTGTTGTTGTTGTTGTTGTTGTTGTTGTTGTTGTTGTTGTTGTTGTTGTTGTTGTTGTTGTTGTTGTTGTTGTTGTTGTTGTTGTTGTTGTTGGTGTTGGTGTTGGTGTTGTTGTTGTTGTTGGTGTTGGTGTTGGTGTTGGTGTTGGTGTTGGTGTTGGTGTTGGTGTTGGTGTTGGTGTTGTTGTTGTTGTTGGTGGTGGTGTTGGCGTTGGTGTTGGTGTTGGTGTTGGTGTTGGTGTTGGTGTTGGTGTTGGTGTTGGTGTTGTTGTTGGTGTTGTTGGTGTTGTTGGTGTTGTTGTTGTTGTTGTTGCTGCTGCTGTTGTTGTTGTTGTTGTGCGGCTGCTGCTGTTGTTGTGGTTGCGGTTGCGGTGGTGCGGGGTGCGGGGTGGGGGTGAGGGGTGGGGGGCGGGGGGGTCGTGAACCTGTTGGCGGTGGGGGTGGCGAGTGGTGGGCGGGGCGTGTTGGCTGATGGGCGCCGAACACAAACACAGCTAGCAAACAACATATGCACAATCAACCCCAAACTAGGAACTGGTCTGCGCAATGACACTCACCAAATATACACGATCAATCTTGCAATCCCAAATTTAGTTCGGTCGCGTGCTGATAGTCTTCATGGCCCAGATGGAGCTGCAGTTGCTCCGGGACTTCCGCTGGTATCTCTGGGTTTTGCCACAGGCCCTGGTTTAGAATAGGCACCACTGACATGAGAAGGAAGCACGCAGACGAAAGCCCTGGAGCCGATCTGCAAGCGCACATATCAAAGGCTTGAACCGTCTGACTGACATCTGTCAACAGGAATCCATCTAAACGACTGCTTCATCTTCAGGTAAGGACCATCGACAGCTATAGCATGAAACATGTCCAGCTCGATGTTGGTACAACAGCCACTTGGCTGGAGAAAAAAAACTTGCGCACGTAAAAGCCCCAAAACAAATCACCTACCCTGTCAGGGAGTTTGAGACCCCTAGGCTGGAGCGCACGTTGAACATGGCTCCGTCACCAGACACAATGGCAAATCCACAACGAAAACGCTCCATATCCAGACATGCCTCAAGCCAAGGTGAAACCAGCCAGGACCACTTCCTCTAGGCGTACACAACGCTGATGCCTTTTGAAGCCCTCGTCTTCGTTGCCCAGGCATCCAGCGCTTTCCGGCTGGCTTCGAAGAAAAAGAAACCACGGGCAAAGGGCCCACTGGCACAAACAAAATAAACAAAACAAAACAAAGCACAAAAAGAAAGAAAGAAAGAAAGAAAGAAAGAAAGAAAGAAAAAAAAAAGAAAGGAAGAAACAATGACACAAAGACACAAAGACACAAAGAAAGATAGGTAGCTAGATCGAAAGAAAAATGAGAGAAGCAAGCAAGCCAGCCAGCTAGCAAGCTAGCAAGCTAGCAACCTAGCAAGCTATTCAGCAAACAAAAACGACCAAGCAATCATGCAGGTATGTAAGCAAGCAAGTAAACAAGAATCATCCAAGCAACCATGCGGGCAGGCAGGCAGGCAGGCAGGCAGGCAAACAACCAACCGACCAACCAACAAGCCAGCCAAAGAAACCAAAAGCAAGCAAACACACAAAAAAACCAAACAAAGAAAGCAGACAAGCAGCTGACAAGCAAACAAGGAAGCAAGCAAACAAACAAGCAAACTAGGAAACCAGCAAGCAAGCAAGCAAGCAAGCAAATAAGCAAGCAAGCAAATAAGCAAACACACCAAACAAGCAAAAACCGGCAGGCAAGCAAGCAAACGACCGACCGAGCGACCAACAAAGCAAGCAAGAAAGCGGCCAACACACCTCGCAACCAAGCGACCAAACAAACTGTGATTTGGGCGCGAGCCTTGCGCCCAGGCATATGGTTTTAGGGGCAAGCAAGCCACAAGTTATGGCCTCCCACCAACCTTCCCCGGAAGCTTCCCGTGCCAGTTCCACCTCAACATCCGCCTCCAAAGACACCATGCTTGATGAGTACCTTGGGGTAACCCCCGCTATCTCCGCCGCTTGGCGGCCTGGGTGGATCCTGAAGTCCGTAGTCCGTGAGGAGGAGGGGCGGGCGGTCCGTTTCCACTGGCGGACCCTTGCCTATGCATCTGGCACACAGTGTACTTCCATCCTGTCTCAAACATAGTTCTCGCAAACATAATTCGAGTCAGGTCAGCTACGCCTGTTCGAGATGCTGCCATTGAAAGCACGACATCGTGTTTCGAGCAAGTAAGAGATGGCGCTCGGCCTGGCAATCGCGTTAGCGAGTCCCTAGGCGCAGTGAGAGAGAGCCTTCCTGATTCCCAATCGCCGCGCTCACCCTTGGGGGAATTCTTATTGTTTCACATGTGAGCAACGGTTCTGTCTTAATTGTTTGCATGAACTGTAACCTCCTTGGGAGGAAGTGCTGAGCTTGCAGTAGGAACGAACAGGAAGGATGCGTGCACGTGCGACCGCTGGAACTCCCAACGTGCGGGGCGAAGCCTTCCTGCGTCGCGCCACAACCTCTCACGGCAGCAGCGAGGCGATTCACGACGTCGCCCTCCAGAGCATCCGTTCGCTGCCTAAGCTCATCACCACCATCATGAATCTCGTTCATCTCGTCGCCGAGCTCGGCGCTCTTCCTCTTGCATGGCAGTCAAGCCCTTATAGTAGATCATTTCTCCGCGAACCAACTGCCAAAGGTTCCGCGGCCTGCTGCTGCTGCTGCTCAGAGACAGTCCTAGCCATACAGTCTCTCGTACATCGCATGAATTGAATGGCGCACGTACCTAAACCTGATTTCGACGCCTTATATGCGAGCGACTTCCTTCGCGCCCTAACAAGACCTTCCACGCACATGCCGCAAGCCCTGTTCTTTTCCTCAAGCTTCCTCACCTTCTTCGCCCAGATGTGTTGGCCTTGCATGTCTTGCTCAAGAGCAGTAACCCGGCTCTCGAGATTGCCTAACGATGCCAGCGGTCAGCACTTCTGACAAATGAGACTCGAGATCGACGCACCGACCTTGGAATTCGGCCCTAACATTTCGGACTTGTTCCTCAACTTCCTTGAGCAATAGCTCGTCAAAAGCCCTGTTCGTTGACTACCCTCGTCAACTCCCTTGGCTGGCATGGAATACCTCCCTGGCAAACTGACAACACTATCTTCCGCATTCTGTCTGCATCCGAGTGCACATAAATTTCGGTGGTAAGCTGGGTAATCCCCGCTCTTACAAAGGCGCGTTCAGCCTCCATGCGGCTAATCTTCTCATTCGTGGCCCGAATTTGATCACCAAACCCCATGAATGTGGCAGCAGCAGAACCGCTGATGCCCCCTCTCCCCACCATTTTATGGAAATGTGCCTCAAATTATTCTTTCTCCTCGCCTTGCGCTCCCTGGTCTGGTTGCAGGTGGTGTTAAGTGTTCATCCTTCCTCCGCTAACGCGGCTGTCGGAAGCAGACGCCGTCGAGTTCCTGCTCCTTCCCCGGCTAACGCCAGATCCAGGTTGAGATTCAGACTTCTTAGGCTCAGGAGTCGACCGGATGTGGATGCCCGGGGCATCCAGAATGTCCGATCGCCTTGACCGGCTCCGGGCTACTTTTCCTGACCTTGGACTTTGCCTACCCTTCACCTAACGATGAAGGACGCTTCGCCGATGCACTGGGTTCTCGGCTCCTTGCATTGCATCTCCCCATTGAGGAGTGAATTTCATTGCCGGACCTAAGAGGTTCGGCCCCAGCGTCCCTTCGCCCTAGCCCCATCCAGCGATGTGGCCAGATCCTCATTCCTCAGTACGTCCCCCAAAACTGATGTTGGGGAAACGGGAACATTCGGAATGCACTCGTCCGCAGGTTCTTCGATGCTGGCAACGCTCCTGTCGTTATCTTCTCCAGGCCTGAAACCAGGCGCCCTGGAAGCTCTTCCGGGTGACATTAAACGTCCGAGCCTGGAACATCAGTTCAGCAATCTCCTCATTGGATGGCTCCTCCCGATTTGCGTGCCTTGACTAATCTCATCCAACTCCTTTGGGGCCCTGAATCCTGGCCAAAATCCCCTGAAAGCCCTGTCCTCGATAGTTCTCTTCTTTATCCATCGGTTCCGGATGACACTTGCAACACATGGCTAATCACACAAACAATGCAAAAACAAAACACACGTTTGCAACAAACAACCCACCTGCCAACCAAACAGATAATCAAGCGCGAAGAAAGCAAGCGAGCGAGCAAGGCAGCCAGCCAGCCAGCCAGCCAGCCAGCAAGCAAGCAAGCAAGCAAGCAAGCAAGCAAGCAAGCAAGCAAGCAAGCCAAGAAACAAACAAACAAACAAACAAACAAACAAACAAACAAGCAAGCAGGCAAGCAAGCAAAGGAAGCAAGCAAAGGAAGCAAGCAAGCAAGCAAGCCAGCAAGCAAACCAACAAACAAACAAACAAACAAACAAACAAACAAACAAACAAACAGACCCTTGCGCCCCCTGCACCTTGCGGCCCTTAGACCCCACGCTCGGCACCCCAAGGCAATGAGAATTTCTGCAGGCCCTATATCCCTTCTCAAAACAGGTACAACCTATTCATACTATGGCCACGCGCTTTGGGCTTTGGTTCTCGCCGAAGCACTGAGCTGAAGGCGCTGCTGGAGCACGGGGCGCTGGAAGGTGCTGAAGAAGTGGTCGCTGATCAATCCAACGAAGAAGAAGACAAAAACCAGAAGCGACTCCAGCGACACCAGGCTCCGGTTCTTGAAGCCCATGGGGAAATCCGGGAAAACCCAATCCGGAAAAGGATGTCCGAGCGAAAGGCTCTGTTTATTGAAAGAGGTCAACTTGCATGTGTGTGCAGGTGTAAGAAGGTGCGTGTTTGTGTGTGTGTGTGTGGGTGTATCTATGTGATTATGTATGTGTATATATACACATACGCACACATACACTATGTAAATTACATACAGAGATACGTGTATAGTTTGATATGTGATAGTTCCATATACTGTATGCATATGCAATGCTTTGACTATGTAATGGATCTGAAAGTTGTTAGGGTTCATACCTTGGTGCGCTTTTGCCATGCAAAGCTCCTCATTCTGAGAAGGCGCCAATTCTCTTCTTAGGCTGGGGGGTGGTCTGAACCCTGCTCTCCACTCGCTACTTGAACTCAGCTGGAGGGCGCCAAGTGCTTCAGGCCTGAGTGCCCTTTTCAGAGTTAGGAAAATGACCCTTGCTGTGATACCAAAGAGGACCATCCCCGTGACTGCTTTATGACTTTCAAGGGGATTGCCAGGCTATCACTGAAATGGGCCCTAAACCCTATTTCCCACAACCATGACCATGTTCATGTCAGAAAAACGGAACCAAACTGAAACCAGTGGCATCCATCTGTTCTCAGTCCCCAAAATGAACTAAACAGGCGCCTATTGTTTCAAGCTGCAATGCCCAGCCTGGCCTTCGAGCCTGAGTAGCCAATAGAAAAACGGTCATTTTCAACAGGGTTCCAAAGTTGAAGTAAAGCAAAGAGCAAGGCAACCCCCCCCCCTCAAAAGAGATGCTCCCGTCCATCAAACAACAAAAATGATTCTTGCAAGCCTTCCTCGAGCGCCCTTTGTCTGCTGCTACGGTGGAAGGGATCTGCGGAGGGCGTGTTGCCGCCGAAACTTGGGAGACTGGGGAAACTCCCCTGCGTGGCGCTTTGAATTCAGTGCTTCCAGTTCCCACAAGAAGTACCAACCTCCACGAAGAATGGGACCTTTCCGGTACCTTCCCGCAGGTGCCTTCTGTTCGTGGCAAGGAAGAGTGAAGCAAAAAGGAACAGCAAATCAATGGTCAACTAAATGGGAAACTGGAAGGAACGGGCTCCAGTTGTAGGCGGTAAGCCGGAAGATCAAACACTTTGGGCCTCAGAACAGCTCTCGGCCATGAAAACTGCTCCTACGGTCAGGCGAATGGGGATCCAAATTGCCAGGGTGCCACTTCCCAAGATGTGTCCTCAATGGCCCGCCGAGTTGGCTTGATGATGTAATGGAACCCCAAGAACCCAGCATAAACAAACCCTTGCTGAATTTCAAATGGGGGTATCCTTAAACGTCTGGGGAAACCGGTAGCTTCCGCCAATGGATCAACCACTTGCACCACTCGCAGTGCAACCAGTGGCTTCGCAACTGCCCACTACGAAGGACTCTGCTCAAAGAGAGGTTGGTCGTGGATCCCTGCTTCAACACAATATGGCATTAGACCCGAATAACCTGACTTGTTCGGGTCATGCCTCAAGCCTCCTGCGCACCTTGAAAGCAAACAAAAAAGACATTCCAACTCGGGGAGCCCCCTACAAACCCCAAACCTTCCAAACACCCGGCTACGCTGAGTTGATGGTCTTTAGGCAACAGTTCCCGGGAAAATGATGAGAACCGCACTGAAGCTTTCAAACCAACTGAAACCAGAAAGGATACCTATCTGAATTTTAATAGATCACCAGCCGTGCTCGCTTGTCTGCCCATGTGAGACAATAATTCGCCAACCTCAAACAGGAAATGGCCCTTTGAAAAGGGAACCTTTGTTGGGTGAAATCGGTCGCATAAGGAAGCCAACCATGCTAGGCGATCCGTATTTTGAGAAGCACCCAAAGGAACCGTCATCGTGGATCCAATTCCTCGTGTTGCCCCCGAATCGGCGGAATCGCTAACCAATTTGCAAAGGTACATGCCTCCGCCCCCACAATTGCCGGGGCCATTGGGAAACGGGCTCAGTGTTTTGCTGGTACACTGAAAAAAATAATGGGAACCCCTACCTCCCAGAAACAGGAAGAATGGAAACGCTCTACAGTCTAAGATGTTTTCTACTACTCTCAATCCAACACCAGGCCTACATGTGTAACCTATAGTGGCTTAATATGGTGTCCGTATATCCCATGAAAAAACCCTGGGTCGCGTGGTTTGGGTGTCGGGAAAGATCTGAGACGTCCTCTACAAGCGCGAGCGCAGGAGCTGCAGGCGCGCCAGCAGGCGGTCTCGCAAGCTGGCGGCGCCTCGCTTCAAGGCTCGGGGCCTTTTTGTTGGGCTGGCACGGGCAAACAAGTCCCACCCGCTTTTGTCGCGGGGGGGGGGGGGAGGGGCGGAAGCTAGTAAGGGAACCTGAGGGCACGCTTTTTGGAAATCCCTGTAGTTTTGGTCCGGCAGCGTACCCTTGGCGAATCTGTGCAAGAATCCATAGCAAGCTCATGCAAGCAGTTTTCTAGAGATATTACCCACGAAAGGGACTTACTGGCAAATGGGGTTTTTAGCGTTTTTCCCCTTGGTTGCCCAAAAAACGCGTAGAACCAACACAAACTCCAAAGCTGACATGTGTGTGAAGAGATAGCGCAGGCGGTTTCTAGCTTGCTCCAAGCAATGGTTCTACTCACCGGGAATGCAGCTGATATGTTCCCGAATGCGTAGCATAGGGTTCTCGTTTCATCTTGGGGGTCTGTGGGTGAAGCCTTGTTCGCCGGATGTCGCGCAACCGCCCGCAACCGTTCGCAACCTTTCGCAACCGTCCGCAACCGTCCGCAACCGTCCGCAACCGTTCGTATGATTGCGCTATGGCTCTCCCAGTGGGGAAGCGCAGAACGCGTGAGTTTGATGACTTGTGATGCGCTGTTTTCGTTGGCCCTGTGCGCGAATCGTAGCCTCTCAAGCTCGACGTGTCGTTTTGCTGCGCAAGCGCCGTGTTTCGTGAGGCTTCACGTTTGCGTTGCAACGCAGTCGGGTTCGCGTTTCAGGGGTCGTCGTTCTGAGGTGTTTTGCTTTGAATGCTCACGCAAGCGTTTTCGTTGGCCCTGTCGTACAGTCGGCTCGTTTTCACGACTGCAGGTTTGCAAGAAATCGGTCGAAATCATTCTGGCGCTCCAGTCCTGCGCTTGTTTTGCGCGCGCGGTGCGAGAGTGTCAAATTCTGATTTCGTGGCAGGCGCAGCATTTTGAGCATGTTGCATTTGCTGTGATGTGATTTTTCGTGACAGGCGCAGCACTTTGGCGTCGTCAGAAGTGTCGCTCAGACGTGTCGCTCAGCGCCAGGCGACACCGAGGTCTGGTCTGGCGGCCGTGGAAGTAGATGCGGAGTCAACTGCAGCGGAGCTGGGGAACCTCGGGTTGGGGACGGCTGCTCCTAGCGCTGTAACCCCCCCGAGGGATGCCCGCCCTCATGTTTGGACTTTTGCCACTCACGCGGCCTCGGGGAAGATGAATCTCAGGGGAGCGCTGCAGACTGCACCGTGACACAAGCACACAGACACGGACAAACAAAGAAACAAAGAAGCAAACAACCAAGCTGCGAACATTTTGCGCGCGTGTGATCACCACAATAAACCGCGGTGCGCGGCTTACTCACAAGCGACGCTTACATGTGTGTGTGTGTGTGCTTGTGCTTGCTCAGAAGTGTTGCTCGGAAGTGCTGATCAGAAGCATCGATCAGGTGTCGGTCAGAGGTGTCGATCAGCAGCGTCGAATCAGCAGTGTTGCTCTCAAGTGCGCATCAGAAGTGTCGATCAGAAATGTTGCTCAGAAGTGTCGATCAGAAGTGTCGCTCAGAAGTGTTGCTCGGAAGTGTCGCGCAGAAGTGTCAGTCTCAAGCGTTGCTCAGAAGTGTTGCACAGAACTGTCAATTCAGCAGTGTTGCTCAGAAGTGTCGCTCAGAAGTGCCGATGAGCAGTGTGGATCAGAAGTGTTGATCAGAGATTTTGCTCAGAACTGTCGATCAGAAGTGTGGATCAGAAGTGTCGATCCGAAGTGTGGATCAGAAGTTTCGATCGATCACAAGTGTTGGTCAGAAGTGTCGCTCAGAAGTGTAACTCCGAACTGTCGATCAGAAAACGCGCGCATCAGAAGTGTCGATCAGAAGTGTTGCGCAGAAGCGTCCCTCAGAAGTATCGATCAGAAGTGTGGCTCAGAGGTGTTGCTCAGTTTTCGACTAGAAGTGTTTTGCAGAAGTGTCGCTCAGAAGTATTGACTATCGTCAATCAGAAGTGTCGATCAGAAGTGTTGCTCAGAAGTGTTGCTCACAAGTAACCCTCAGATGTGTTGTTAGAAGTGTTGATCAGAAGTGTTGCTCAGAAGTGTCGATCAGAACTTTTGCTCAAAAAGTTACATTGCAAAGCAACTTTGTAGCACAAGTATAGTACGCGATCGCAACTTTGAAGTACAAGTCTAGTACGCGAAGTACAGGTTTCCAGCACTAGCTGGAAAATCACGACTTTGTAGTACAAGTATAGTGCGCGAAGTACAGGTTTTGAGCTCCAGCTCAAAACTCGCAACTTTGCAATTAGTACAAGTCTAGTACGCAAAGTGCAGGTGTCCAGCTCCAGTTCGAAAATCGCAACTTTGTAGCAACAAGTTGAGTACGCAAAGTACAGTTTTACAAGCTGAAAAAATAGTTTGCGCAGTTGCAGTTGACTTGATTGCGAGCCCCACTGGCTTATACCGAAACATGTTCTCTAATTATTTTCTTGAATTTGCGCAAAGTGATGTGCATTCGGGTTCGTGGGCTCTGTCTTGTTTTTTTGATCCGCGCGGCCAATCGCGATCACGCAGGTCCGAGAAACAAGTCAAAAGGAGACAAAAGGAAACCCGAACCAAAACAGGAAAGCGGGAATCCAGCTGAATGATAAACGCGTGGTTGACTTTCGATTCAATTCTTCCAGTTCAAGAAGGGAGCCTTCACTTTTGGCAAAACAGCCCCTATTCATCCACGAGTTTGATTCATCCGCGCCCGATATGGCGCACATCGGAAATGAGGTACCCCCGGTTTTCGTGAGAATCTTCTCTCGAATTCCCACTGGGTGAACGGTGCCCGGTTGTCCCTCTGGCATGTTAATAGTTCCGTGAATCTTCGCAAGAAACCCGTTTCAACGGTTGGTTTCCTTGTGGTTTCTCTTTGATCACCACACTTCCGAGGGTAGGAAATACTAGTACCCGCTTATGGCCCTGCCGAATATGACTAATCCCTTCCCCCGAGTAATATGGGTCCTCCTAACATGAAAAATTGCCTCCCCGCAAAAACATCCCCAATGCTTAATCTCGAGTACACTACGAAACTAGCGCTTGTGTCACGATGTTCCCCTCCAACCCAACATGCAGCGAATTCATTAGGGGCCCTTCAGAACCAATGCTAAACCCACACTAAACCTATATTCAACTTATACAAAACCGAAAATGTCACTGAGTTCTGCCGTAAAGTACTCGTTCTGAAATTGCCGTTTTGAACGATTTCTATGCCCTCGAAGAGGACCCAAGAGGACTGAGAACTCAGGCTCCCTGCCTCCCTAATAGCCCGAAATCCCACTAGGGCCTTGTGGTGCCTAATAGTGCCTCAAGAAGCCTGACAAAGCCTAAGCCTTTCAGAGGAACACCCATGTGCTTTTTGGAGCTACTCCGCATCCAATGTGATGCCATGGCGCGTTCGGGCTGACATCTGAACCAGCCCGAAATTCGCTTCTCCGCCAGTCGGCAAGCATATTGTTCTACAGTTCGCATCAGCAGAAGCCTCTTGCCTATCTTTCCGGCAGTTGGAGTGGTGGGGGGTCCGCAAACTCCAGCCTAGGGCCACCTTTCGTGCAGCTTGCAGCGCATGCTCCTGCGAACGCCGGGACGACCGCACTACAAGCAAAAGCTTGTTGATTTGCAGACCAGTCGATGGGGCGACCAAGCTGAGTCGTAATCCAAACCTGATATCAACGGAGTCTACCAAGAAGCATGTGATGTCAGTTAAACCCACCCCCCCAAAACACAGCCGTACCAAAGCTCAGCGACTTACGTTTTGCTTACTGCTCGCCTGAGCAACCGACAAAATAAGAACAGGATCGCGGAAAATTAGGGCTAGCTCCGCCCCCCACCCTCCCTCCCCACCCCCGCGCGGTTTTTGTAGGGGAATATGTGTTTCTTGTCCCAGGTAGCCAGGTAGTGACGTATTTTCTCCAGGCCTGATGAGCTCAATGGCATGGGTGTGAGGGAGCAAGCGTTCTCCATCATGAAGCCCGAGCTTGTTTTACTTGCAAAAGCATCCTTATGAAAAGAACCTTCATCATGGGCCCTTTCGGTCGATTTGAAATTTGCCAGTGAATTGATCAAGTTTTCAGAAGTAATCCAGTGACCCCTGGAAGATGTTGCGAATGCACGTCCCAAATGTCGGGGGAACCCTTTACAAAGCTTGCTTTTTCGACTGAAGACGTTTCAAGCGGGCATGCTCAAGCATCCTTGGTAGTTTCTCACGCGCCTCCGCAACTCGGGCAGAAACACCCTTGTTGATTCCCCATCATTGCAAGCAGGTAACAAGGCAGGGCCGCATTTTGCCAAATTGTGCGTCTGTGGCATATGGCTCACTTTAAATATCCAGAAATCAGGCTAAATTTGGCTCAAGATGAATGGGACCCGTAAAATGACGGAAATCCCGTTGAAAATCCTTGGAAAACCATGGCAAATGGGAACCCCCGAATGGGCAGTTTCCTCTTCAACTTTCTTGGAGAAAACAGGCGGCTGCCATTTCGTTCTCCAAAGCTCAGATGGCTTCCCTTTTAACTCCCCTACCCCCCAAAAAGCGCCCCGAGCCTCCCAATACACCGCCCCCACCGTTTGCAGCACTTCGCTTCCGACCTGGCCTCCGTACACACGCCGCCGTCTGCCTAAACCGCGAAGCAAGCGACTCTGGGCCACATCGTCACACCACTGGGGCGACAGTGGATGCCAACGAGGGTTGCTACATATTGGGGGCCCCTCTTTGGGTGATTTTGAAAAGAATTATTTGAAAGTAAGCAACCCATATTGGGGCGCCATTTTGAGAAACGCACAAATCAATACGTACATACTCAGTATATACGGACCAATAGATTGTGGTCTTGAGTTGGTTCACTTGCACTGAGCACCCATCGTTCCTTCACAGGCTGAGAAACAAAAACTTTCCAAAAGGTTTAACGGTTATTGGTCAAAGCAAAGATCAGCCATTGGTTGGAAATGCCCAGGCCTCCAATGGCCCGAAGCAAATTGCGAGACACAAGCGTCAGTGTCGCCCGGTTTTCTCCAGTCAGCCCACCTGTGGACTGGAACGTGCTGCCGGAGACTCGCCCGCTCGGCAAGGAGGAGGCACAGCCGTTGGCACGGCCGTGGAATAAACAGAGGCAATTCTAACAACCTCCCCATTCTTGCTGGTTGATTGCATGCCCAACCTTTTGAGGCCCGACGACGTACTGCGTGTAAAACCCTTTACAAATGGTGGTTCAATACCTCAATTGAGCAAAGGACCTTCTCACCTCATCAGGGGTTGTGAACCACCCATCATAGAATGCTTGATCGGCGATGCCTGCCCAGCTCGTTCATTAGCCATTCCTTCGAGACGTACTGCAGGGGAGCTGAAGAGACTCCAACGATCATGGGATGGAACAGCGCTTGGTGGCCAGACGCCAACCCAAAGAGATTGAGGAAGCGTAGACATCAGACATCACATTGCAGTAAAGTTCGGGTGCCTGGGATGTCTTCGTCTATCCTGGGAAAAATATGCCGGCGTAGATCATGGCAGGTACGTGGAAAACTGAGCATCGCAGGGACCTGAACATGGGTTTGGCGCCGGTTGACTACTTGGGGCCCACACACCGCCTTTTTGGAAGCAAAGCTTGAGCTGGGCCCAAAGGGTAATTTTGGCAGCACGTAATTGCAGCCCAGAATTAATAAATGCTTGGTTGATTTTACCAGGGTTGTCCCTGACAAAAGCGGTCTGGCGGATCAATTTCCCGAAGCGTCACAACTTTGCGCCTCTGAGGCCAAGGTGGCAGCATCGTCCAACACATCCAGCGCCCGGTCCGGCAGGAACCGGCCTGAGGGCTCGGCGTTTTGTTTGGATCCAACTCCCATGGCCATGGCCAGGGTTCGCTTAGGAGCCCCTTAACCTCTAAAGTGCAAGGGCTGCGTACTGCTGACCATCCCCACCCTAGAGGGGCCTTTTGACCATGACACATGTGAGCTTTTCCTGGGGCATTGAGATGCCGGAACGTTCTGTGTGACGAGTCGGCGAAGGGCAGTTGGATTCGAACCGGTTGGCGACCTCATTTGGGTCCTCCAACGAACATCTAAAAAATAACTCAAAAAACAAATTGGCCCAAAAGTGCCAACTAAAGGGCGGGCGCAAACAGACACGAGCCACCCGCCCCATTTCTGGCTCGAGGTTTCGGCCTCGCAAGGCGCGGGAGCCTTGCACGGAGGCGCGCACCGCCTGGCCGACGGAGAGGCTCGCTAGTTTGTCTCAAGGCGGCCTCGCTGGCATGTTGGTAATAGCCCAACAAAAGGCACGGGCTCGGAAAAATAAAATAAAAATAAAAAACGTGATACCCCCCAAACAGCCATCATGATGATTGCCTCCAAAGCAGTCTGTCCCAAATGATCAGAAAAAAAAAAGAAGAAGAAAAAGAAACAAACACTGCGAGGTTTTGGCTTGTGGTGCCCAGCGCCCGGAGGTGAGAGAAGCATGCCCACGAAGCAAAGACGCCCAAAGCGGGTCACAAATGCCTTTTCGAACTGCGAGATGTGCCAAAGGGCAAAATAGATCTCATCTCTGAGCACAATAAACTTCCCCGCCAAAAACAGCATGTCTTAGAATTGCTGTTGGGGCATGTACCCTGGATGACCCCTCTTTGGCCCATTTATAGCCACTGATAATGACCCCCAACAAGAGTGCTGAAGGACTTTTGAGGAAGCGCATCTGCAAGTGAGATCATCAGGGCCCAAAATGTGCCGCTGAAGTGTTGTGTCATTCCCAGTGGGAACCGCCTTTAAAAAACCAGCAAAAACAACATTAAAACTGGCTGTTTACCTGCCATGTGGACATGGGACTCTCGGATCCGGTGGCACTGCGGATACTAGGGCCCCTTTTCAGGCCCCTTGCAAAGCGGCTGCAAGCAGTCAACCATCTTGACTGCTTTATTTGGTTGGCACTTGATACGGTGGGAGGGAACCAAGAATAACACCAGTATGTTGAGGGTGGCCTGATTTCGGGACAAACCCAAATGCGGATACGGTTGCTAAAGTGTGCCAAAAACAATGTCCCACCCCCCACCTCCTTCGTGACCTTGACGCCATGGTGCCGCCTCAGATTTTGAGAGAGCGCGAGTGAAAGTCCCCAATCCCCTGTTCCACAATGCGCAGTGGAAAACGATTACTCACTTCCTGAGTGAATTGGCCAAAAAAGTCCCTGGACTTGTTGTTTACCACCAAAAGATCTGCCAGGTTCCGGTAGAAAAAAAACACTACACAGGAGGCTCCTTTCGCAACCAAAGCAGGGGTGCCCCAAAGACACTATCACGAGGTGGTTTCTGATTGAGCAAAAAAAGAAAAGAAAGGGGATCGATTGTGTGTTGGCAATCTTGTGAAGGCGCGGGGCAACCCTTCAAAGGAAAGGACTGCCTTGAACGGGGGACCTATCCCTCACGCACCTGGGCTTGATTGGCTTTCCAGGTAGTTCAAATCAGCCACTTGAGCTTCCTGGCTGCCACGTCAAAGACAAACACGAAGGGCAAACAGAGGAACTGCAATGGTTCATCCTTCCATAATTGGCAATATGAGGGTGTCAAGCAGACCAAAAAGGGAGCGAAAATACATCCTCACAGAAGGTACCAAGGACCCGAACAGACAAACATTTTTGAAGAGGGTCCCCTCCTACAGTTGGGACCCCTTGTTTTCCAGACCTCTTGTCTGTGTGGCCCCCCCTCTCTGTTTCGGACCTTGCGTTTCGATCCGTCTCGAACTTCTCATCTCTTGGGCCCCCGCTCGAAGGCCGGGAGGGCCGACAGGAGCATCTTCTCCGCCGCCGCCTCAGGGGCAGCTGTCTGGGAACTTCCTTGGGGCGCCGTGGGTTTCATGGGGAGGACATGAATTCAGCTGCACTTCTTCAGGCTGGTTCGATTTGTCAATGGAACGTCTTCATGGCCAACGGCTTGCCTCAAATGATAAACTGTTTCTTGCAAATAGGGTCCCCAAAATGGCGAAAGCTGCGCGGGTGTTTTCATTTCGAGGGCCCCCTTTGTAAGGACGCGTTAAAGCGGGAAAGCCAGAGGAAAACCAAGTGTTTGCAGTGGTCCAAATCCCTTTGCCACACGACCTGAAAGTGCCCAGTGAGCGCCTCGGAAGGCTCCTGCAGCTCCACAATGACGAAGCGGCGCTCGAAAGCCTTGTCCTCGCTCGGATGCAACGTGTTCCATGTGGCTTCTCTTGGAACCACCGAAAAATTGGGAAACCTCTCCAAATGGGTATGAACCCCAAAAAGTCCCTTGGTCCCACTTGACCCAAGAAGGGACCCTTTTGGAGGGTAAAGCAGAGTCTTTTCACCAAAAGCACGGTTTATCTGTATCTTTGGAAGGTTTGCGAATTTCAAATGGAGCCGCTGTGACATGGGCTGCTCCAGTCAATCGTTTAGCTTTGGGCCTCAGATTCATCATCAGCCTCGAACCAAGTCCGAGAAACCTTAGAGCTCGCCCAAATTGCACGATTCAAAACCTTGAAAGACCTGGCTGGCAACTGGGGGTCATCTGCACTGATTCGCTCGGAATTTCCCAGGTCTGCAAACCCTCTATTCCTGCCACCCAAAAAAGGAAGGGGGGACCCTCAATGGAAAGCCACAAGCCTTGCAACTGGCCGGAAGGCCTGGTCGGTTGGTTCCGATCCCAAGGTCTGTCACCCCCCCCAAGGCAAAAAAGCAAGGAGTGCTGGCAAAACAGGGGACCCAACTCAGGCCGCAGAACTTACGCATGTTGGCAGCACTAGACACACAATCTGCATACACGAGAGATGGCGAGTCCACTCGCAAGTGGATGTTGCATCCCAATGCCAAGGTAGAGGGTGGGCCTCCTCGAAGAAGCCCATCTGCGTCTAGTTGCTGCCACATTTGATGGAGCAGCCCTTGGCTGAACCCCAGGCTGCTCAAATGGCTGCGCGCAGCATGATAACCACTGCGCTGGTAGCAAGTTGAAACGTCAAGCGCTGCGCGAGCCTGTAGTTGGCCAGATGATCCATGTGTTAGCTCACGGCTTCCAATTGTTTGGCACACATCCAAGTGGCAAGTAACGAAACCACTCAAGCGCCTCCACTATGAGTTTGCTGCAGGAGGCAGCCATGTGGTTGCTCAGCGGTTGTTGGGCGCACACCGCTATGGTGACGAAGTAAACTGCGAACACAAAAACGTTCCCCAGCAAGGTGAACACGGAAACAGCGCACTCGGGTGCAAAGGAGCAATGAGAGTTTGCTGGTAAGCAATTCGATACTCCTGGCCAAAGCAGTTGTTGCCCCGAGAGGCGAAGCTCCGGGGTTCCCTTCTGCTCCAGCTTGCTTTGGCACACAGATATGTTGTTTCTTGCTGGACCATTTTTGGGTTTGCTTTTAGGGCTTCGCCCCTGGAAGACAAACCCACATATCCTACTACTATCCACAAACATGAAACCTAACGGGCAGCTGGAAGATTTGTTTCTGGGCAGGGGACGCTCTGATGGGTTCCATGTCGGAGGATACCCAAATGAACGAGTATGGTGGGGTTTTGGTGCAGCCGTCGAGAATCAAAGGGCAAGCCAACAGGAACCTTCAAATGGTGCCCTTAGGGCTTGGGTGTGGGAAGGTTTTTAGTGTCTGCTTAGGGTTGGTTCAGGGTGCCTGTTGAATTGTTGGGTTGCAAGTTACAAGCACTCCTCTTTTTGAAACAACACCCGGCGCAGGCCTCGCCTGGTTCTGAATCAGCTTCTTGTACTCCGCAGTGGTTGTTGCACCTCCGCCCCAAGTCCGACTTCGGCCCGTCCCCAAAATCTGATTTTACACTGGGGTTCCCAGTACTCTTTCGTGTGCCATGTGTGGTGCTTTCAAGGGATAGCCGGCGAGCCCCCCCACAACCAACACTTCCCAGAAGTTCCATCGTGTCCCAACTGACATTGTTTTTTGGTGCGAAAGCCCCTGCCCCCAGCCACTGCCCCAGTACCCAATGAAAAAATGGAAGGTGTGCCCTCAGCCACAGTAAATGACAGTGAATCTTTGTCGCTGCCCACGTCTAGATGTCGAAACCCGAGCGAAAGCATGGCCAGACCAGAGACCCGAGCGGTCAACGAGTGTCTCAAAGGACATTCGAAAAAAGACCCTCCGTAATTCTGGTAGTTTTAAACAAGTTCTCGAACTTGTTGGTTTGGACCGATGGACTTTTTGGGTTTGAAACGCCAGTTCCTCTTGATGTAGCACCAGGCCCCAATTGGTGGTTTCTTCCCTTGGCTACCCTGTTAAACAACCCCAGAACGGGTGCCCTTCTAAAAACAAAGCGACAAAATTTTGGAAGCCACCAAAAAAGGAAGCCTCTTGCAGGCGACAGGATTGTTCCTAGCACCTCCCCAAGCGAAGGCCACCTCGAGCGATCTTTTGAGATTAGTTGGCTTATGTTTGGTCCAAGAAATGTGGGTTTGGTCCCGCTTTTTGGTTTGGCACCCTAATTTTGTTTGCCGCCAGGCCCACGCTGGCAGGTCAAACGGGTCAGAGCCCGTGCTCTTTGCAGCCCCTGCAGAAACTGAACTAAACCCGCAAAAATGAGCGCTGGAAAACAAAGTAAAGCTGTTGGATCCATCGGAAATCTGGGGCTCCGGACCAATGCACCGCAACTCTCCCCGCGCCAAGGCAGGCTTCAGGAGGTTCGCCTCAGACAGGTGGCTGGTTGTTCTCCAGGCACAGGATACTTGAAAACGACATTTAGCTGCGATTATACGTAGTTCACTATGAGTAACTATGAGACCTCCGCTATTAGCCTAGTTTGGGCATCCTTTAAGAACCGCTCGGAGCGCCTGCCTCAGGGTTTCTCCACTAAAACGGGAAGCTCGCTTTATTTTGACCAAGGTGATGTTTACATCACCGAAGGGGAATATAAGTAACCCTGACCTCGTAAAAACCTTGAGGTCCATTAACTTTGGAAATTCGGCAGTTGGTGCCCTGAGTCCCCAAGCTTTGGTATAGCAGACAAATGGCCTTGCCCCCACGATCTGGGAATCACCAAGGTCACGGTTTGGAACTGAATCCGTGTTCTCTGCTCGAATGCTCTGAAGCACGAGGTGACAGTATGCTTCTCGGAGTATGACCTTGCTTCCTTCGAAACTTTTTCTCCCAGCCACGGCCCTTTGTCGCTTGGGTTGCTTGCGTCGCTCCCCCGGGGCCCCCGGGCCGCGTCCATGGAGCTGCCCTTCTCCGTCTCACCGGCGCCTAAAGCCTCGACGAGTCGAAGGCGTCACAAAAAAACGCGGCGGTCGAAGGCGTCTCGGCCAAAGGCGTGGAGTGTGACTCGGGATTCCCCAAATTTCCCCAATAAACAACACCCCGAATCGAATGAGACGGTTCCTGAGGTTGCACCCCGGGCTTTGAAACCAACTTGGGTCATGATTGTAGGAGTACATGTTTTAGTAATTATTTAGCTGAAGCCGTGTCACCCATCTTGCTGGTTGTTAGGAGGGAATCACCCAAGGGACGAGAAATGTGCGATCATTCCTTCCTTTCCTACTGATCACTGGAATCAGTCAAGAAATCGGTGGGTCAAGGACTCTTGTCAGAAGCGTGCACCCCTAATGGCCCCAAACCGTATGCCCCACATTTAGCCGACATGTAACTAAAAAGGGGTATAGCAGACCTCTGAGAGGAACAACAGCACTTTCCCCGTTGTTTTATTATTGTTATTTTTTTCTGGAGGAACCCATCGATTCTCGCGATGATAGCCTTGAAACGACAACCTGCTCTCATTCACTAAAATGGTTGGCTTCGCTTTGGTGTCCCTGAAAACCCATTCCAAAAGCGGAAGTAAGAAGGTGACATGCATCGAGATTATCTCTTGCCAGTGTGTTCGACAGTATCGTCATAATGATTTTGCCTCCAAACTCGAAGGCGTTCTTCATCAAGCTCATTCAATGAAATGCAGACGACAGGCATGGAAGCCTGAAAAATCCCAACCCAAAGGACGCGGGAGCCGTGGAGAATAAACGCGTGCTTGCCCTTTGGTCCCCACAAAAATTGGGCGGGTGCAGCCAAGCTTCAATGCACAGCCATGCAACCTTCTGGCACTGGCAGAACCCCAGCTGCGGATACTCAGTAGTCTATCAAAGTTCGCCAACTAAAATTCAGGGGGATGGTAGCAACCCAAACCTGCACCACCCCTTGTGCGTCGGGGGGGGGGGTGTCGGTCTTAAAAGGGAATCGCGGGCTAACATCCAAAAAGAACGGTAGCAAGCAGGATAACAGTACTCGCACAAAAAGATAACGGCGATGCCACATGCAGTGTCTACATTGGGCGAGAAAACTTTGAGACATAAACATGTCAGCAATGCAGCAGGTCAAAGTGAAGGATGGTGGCCCTCTCTCGCTTTCTCTCTTTTTTTAAGCTGCGCTCACGCAACAGCCCTGCTTTCTGTAGCATCTTTCTGTAGCATTCACTTGCCCATGGAAAATAGAGAGGTACGTTGGTATGGTAAGGGCTTTACTGAAATGCTACTCATTCTGTCCCACATTTGACCGCAGAAGTGTGACCCACTCCCGCTTCATTTGACCGCAGAGGTGTGACCCACCCCTGCTTCCCAGCACCGAGGTGCTGGCACCCCCCTACAGCAAACTCTGCCGTCCCCCCAGACGGATCAGAGACCCAGGGTTGGGCTAGGGAGGGAACAAAAAGAAAAACTCAAGAGAGCGCCGCTTTGACCTGCAGCTCTTGGTCTGAGCCCAAGCGGTCGCCAATCGCTCATGTTTATTGCAGCTGCACCATGCCTGCCCAGGCCTAACAGCATTACATAAACATGTCAGCAATGCAGCAGGTCAAAGTGAAGGATGGTGGCCCTCTCTCGCTTTCTCTCTTTTTTTAAGCTGCGCTCACGCAACAGCCCTGCTTTCTGTAGCATCTTTCTGTAGCATTCACTTGCCCATGGAAAATAGAGAGGTACGTTGGTATGGTAAGGGCTTTACTGAAATGCTACTCATTCTGTCCCACATTTGACCGCAGAAGTGTGACCCACTCCAACGCTGCTCCACACTTCCGAAGCCTCTCGTTTTTTTCCGAAACTGCTTCCAACGTGGCTCGCTCCTCGAACAAATCTTTACAATGGTCCCAGACCTGTCTCAGCGGCGTGCCCCACCATGCATCTGGGCATCCCAGGGGTTGCAAAGAAAATTCATGCCGACTGCTGAATACATCATACTGCAAATGCCTGCTGACACCATCTGCAAAGTTGGAGTCTGAGTTGATCCATTCCAACCAACATCGGGCATTCAAAAAATACAACAAGAAGTGAAAAATCGCCACTGTGCGGTCCAGATGAACGCCTCGGGCAGTGCCCTTGACGATAGAGTAAAGAGCAGCTGTGTTGTCGCAAAGCCACAAAATGTCACGCCCCCGCACCAAGCGGCAGAAGTGCATCATTGTGATAGGCAACATAGAGCACTCGCAGAGAGCAATGGGGTTCTTGCCCAATTGCAAATCCTCGTGCGAAAATCCCCAAAATTGTAACAGTTTTGGTGTGAATCGCAAATGCCCGCCAACTTTGCGGCCATCCACCGGGTCATAAATCAGCACGCCTCCGGAAGGCCACGCGTCGGCTTGTGCGTCTGAAGCGACAACCAGAAAGCCACAGTTGCTGGCTGCCACTTTAACTACTCTTGGCGCCAGAACATCCAGGAGCATGAGCAAGAACTCATACGCCCTGCAAAGTTCATGGGAGTTGCCCCATGGGACCTTGTCACTGTACTGCCTGCGTCGCAACGCGCCCATGGCCACGCGGCCAACTCTACCCCACTGCGCTGATGCTATAAACCCGCACAGGCCCCGGACTTTAGACGCCTGCGCCGGGGTAGTCTCGCCCTCACGCAGTCTGTCATGGATCATGGCAGCAGCTTTTCTTCGAAGATCTTCTTTGGCTTGAAAGGTGACCTGCCACGAGGTGAAGGCTGAGCTCGTGTCATGACAAATGCCCAAGAAGTCGTTTTTCGCTGACAACTCATGAGTTTTCTCCGGGCTGAAGGGCTGCCCAAAAGCTGCCGCGAGCTCCTGCCACAAGGCCTGCCCGTGACCACCTGCCACATCCAGCTCATCCAGATGGGAATCGTCCACAAACAAGGAGATCATGAGGTGCAGCATTCTTCGGCCACTTGCTTCCAGAAAGAAGGAAAACCTCTCGAACTGGAAGACGCTGGCCGCGAATCCGAAAAGCAACGCCCAGCAAGGACAGACGCGCGTCTCCAAGGTTTCAGGATGCTTGACTATGACATTGTTATGTCTCAGGTGCCGGGGATGGACAGGCAGGATGCGGTATGCGTCTGGCAAATCTTCCCCGGCTGTGACCAGAGCTGTTTTCTGCAACGCTGTCTCCTTTGCGAGGTCTTTGGCCCAAGCCAGCAGCAGGCGAGCTGCAGTCGCTGGCATCATTGCAGAGACCATGTTGAATCTCTCAGAGAAGGCAGTTGCAGAGTTTTGTCCACCAGCTTTAGCATCATCAATTCTTCTGCGCTTGCCGCAAGGTTGCGTGTGCACAAAGCACGGCACCACCGACCACCTACCAGGTCCGTGTTCAGCATCCAGCCAACTCACATCAACGGGCAAAGCAGCTTTCCCGCGTCGTGCTTCGCCGCAGCAGCTATTCCAAAGGAAAGCCAAGTCACTGTGTTCAAACTTCCTGCGTGCGTACTGGCGCAACACATCTGGGCTCGCCCGACACAGGGCTGCTTCATCAATCTCCGGTATCTCCTCCGACGGCGACCAAATGTGCACCCGGTCCATCCGCCCAATCAGCTTGAAACCTTCGAGAAAGGCTCGCGGCAATTGCTTGTCGGGCCACCGCATTAAAATCACAAAAGCAGCCATTAATGCCACATGCATGTGGCCTGCGACACTTGCCACGGTTGGCGCCACAAACTTTCGCAGGTGTGTAGACAACGGCTGGCATCGATTTGACAGCTCTTTCAACAGAGCCCTGCCAAGTTTGCGGTGGTCCCGCAACGACTGCATACAGTGAACGGTACACCAAGCTGCGAAGGAAAAATCCGCACAGCACACCATGTCATCAAAGGGAAGGTGTTGTTCGTGAGCCGCGCTACAACACGCAGCAAACGTTTCGCTCTTGCTTTGGTGCAAACTGATCACACTAGGCACTGCACGCTTTTGGGCGAGCACAGCCGCTTGCAGCCCTAGACTGGGCTGAAGCTTGTTGCCAGTCAGCAAGTGGCTTTCCGCCACATTGATCTGGCGCTCCGCGCACCAGTTGTGAAACATCAGGAAAAATGGGTGATTGAAAAGATCTTCCAACATGGGCAAGGCAAAGCCATGCAGCATATCGACTGGAAACATGAATCGGAGGCCACTGACAATGGCCTCTTGGCAAAACTCCAGCTGGACTGCTGGTGGCAACCGTGTTGCCTTGTTGCCAGAACACTGCTTCCCAAATGAAGACACTGGCCCGTCCTCATCTGGGCGCCTTCAGGCCTGACGGGCCTTCTCTGCATGCCTGCAGTTGATACCGCGGTGATTGCTCATCCCGCAGACCCGGGCGTTCTTGGACCCCACCTGGACATTGCACACGTGCAACTGCTTGTTGGGGCAAGGCCCCGACTTGACACACTTCCCCCGGTTCCAGTCTTGACAAATGACCTTGCCATCCTTGAGAGAAGTAGCAAAATGCACCTGCTGCTTTGCCTTCTTGGGGCTCTCCTTTGGGGGCTGAGCGGCCCCAAATGCAGTATGCGGCTGCGGGTTCCAGCAGGCCTGCCGCTCAATGTAGACTTCACGGATGACCACGCCAAGGGCCCGATTGCTGCCACGAAACCTTTCGCACCAAAGGGCCCTGTCTTCCTCCTCCTTGTCCATGATCTCATGCAAGCGGCTGGCCGCCACCGACATGGTGTACTTTTGCACCCTATGGAAGTGCGCCATGCAAACATCCAGGGGGCAAAAGACATACTTGCAGGTGTCTGAATGCACATCTTCAGGCACTGCTGGCGCATCAGCTGGTGCATAGGAGCCTGCTTTCGCAAAGGCCACCATCAACATTTCCAACTGCGCCAGGAAGCTTCCCACACTCTCTTCCATTTGCGCATCCTGCACATCCGCATGTACCAGATGCACTCCCTCAGCCACCCTTGTGCGTTTTCTTTCACCGCTGAGCTGGACTGCCAGACACTTCACTCTGAGAACCTTGTGCACGGTAAGCAGCTTGCTCTTGAACAGCCTGTGCAAGTTTGAAACTAGCAAGTCGGAAGGTGTGCGAGCTGCTGGGTATTTCATGCGATACCTTGCCCAGAATGCAGAGTCTAGGCTCTCCAGCTCATCTGTGCCAAGCAAAGCCTCAAGCTCCGGAGTCTCCAAGCCTTTACGCTTCTTCTCAACAGCCCGCTGGACAGCCTCTGTGACTGCGGCCCAAGCCTTGCGCAGCCTGGCTGTTTGCACTCCCTTGTTTGGCAAATCGGAGACTTTGTCAATGATGAGCAAGCGCACCTCGTCATCGCTAGTGACGAACTTTGCAAAATCTTCTAAGCTTTGACAGCCTTCGGCGATCAAAAACGTACCCACCTTTTCGTTGACATTGAACTTGCCACACATGTCTTTAAACAGCTGGGCAGGATCATCAACAGCTTGCGCCGGGGGTTGGAGATCAGCCACAGTCAAAGCCATGCCAACAAGGCCTACAAGGAAAGACCAAAACAACTACTTCAAGTCTGAGCCAGATGTGCCATGTTCTGATGTTGCTGCCACTTTGTGAAGCAAGAACATTGTTCAAAACGCTGAACCCAACTTGTTGCATCTTTGACAGCACTGCATGTGCGACTGCAGCGTCGCGCAGAGGCCCTGCCAGCTTCCCAAGGCAGAAGGGGAACACGCCGCAACTGCAAAAATACAGGATCAAAGTTGCGACGGGGCCCTGCCAGCTTCCCCCCTCCACCCTGGAACTCTGCGCAACCACTGCTCACACACAGCCTCACAAACAATCCTTCATGCAGGGGCCCTGCCAGCTTCCCAGGAGAGAAGGGGAACTCACTGCTGCTGCGCGTATAACAAAAGTCTGAGCGCTGCAGTGGGGCCCTGCCAGCTTCCCCCTTCCATCCTGGAACTCTGCATGGTTTCAACGTGAGCAGTAGCAACATGTTACGCGCTTTTCCCTCTTTTTATTGTTCACGGCAACTGCTGCTGCAAGTCGACAGGCAGCATCTTCTTGCAAGAAGGGCAAAATTTGCGGCCGCTGAGCAGCGCGTCTTGAAAAGACTGAAAACTCACCGACCCTCCTCTAAAGACGCCAGCTTGGAGGCGCTGGCGCCAGGAGCACACTGGCCCCTTTGCATCCGTTCGGCTCAAGTGCAGCAATGCACCTTGCCGCCCTGCAGCTATCCACCGCTCCGAATCAAATTCTCGGCTCACGCTTGCCCGGACCGCCACCAGAGGTGACTTCGGGACGAAACGTTGCTTAAACTCTTGCAACAAGTTGCCGGGCGCACGCGCAGCAGCTTCTACATTAGAAAACTCTGCAAAAGTTGACGACTTTGCTTGCCATCCTTTAACTGTCTCAGCACTTTGGCCAGACCACCAAGTTCGAAAGTCTTCCCATGAAGATACGCCGCTCTCCAGAGCCGCTGCGAAAGTCAAGACGTGATAAGCCTTGCTCTGAAGTTCAGCAGCGCTCCGCTGGCCACTGTATCTCGCCGGCATTAAATTGCGTCTTTCCCGTCGCTCAAGCGACGTTGCCGCGTCCATTTGCCACCCTCCGACTTCAAGCCGCTCATGCCAATGAGCCCCTCGACAGTCCAAGACTGTAGGAGCACAGCGGCGAAACGAGTAAGAAGAGACTGGAGGCGATCCCTGCTGTAAATATTCCTGCAACTCCGTGTTGGCTAAACGATTGAACTGCTGCAAAGACACAGCCTGGTTGTCCAAGTGGCAAACGAAAGTAGGAGGTGCCTCTTGATAGGACTGCAACGCCTGAAGTCTGTGCCAACCATCCCAGATACATTGCAGCGGCGCCTCCAGAACAGACGCTCGGGGCACGAACCACCGGAATCCTGCTCTCACTCCATTGGTTCTCTTCTTGCCGCGGCTCACCCAAAAACACACCCACTTGGAAGTCTGAGCCAGAGGCACCATGCGCAAGGCATGCCGGTACCGCAACGGCACGAAAGCCAGCACGGACATGACAGATAGCACGCAGGCCGTAACTGCCTGCTTCGCCACTGCGGCCTGGGCCAAGTTGCACAATTGCCTCACCATGAACGGCTCCAAAGGTACTGCTTGGGTTGGGCCATCAGGCCGGAGCGACTGCTCTCCGGCTCCTTGGGGGATTGGCACCCCTTCCACATCTAGAGGGGCCTGCAAGTGCCGCGCCAGCCAAACGAGTCGATTGTAGCACGCCTTCGGCACGGAATGTCCCTTTCCTTCAGAAGACACATTAATGTGGTCCTCAATCAGCACAGCGGGGACTACTGCTTTGGGCCGAGCACCTTCTGCCAAATCAATGCTCAGCTGCCTTGCGTGGTACCAGACCCGGGACCATTCCGAAATTGCATCCTTAATGGTCCTGGCTTCAAATCCAAGTAACCGAGCTGACAAAGCTGCAACTCGCCTCTTGAGCACGCCTGGATCCGTCACATTGGCCTGCACGCCAAACAGCGGCGCCCAAGACATTGATAACTGGATTGCTTTGTTTGCGGCCATCTGCCGCTGCAACGCGTCAGTCTTGACTGTAATAGGTCTAAGTCTCCCCCTCCGCGCTTGCAGGCGCTTGTGCTTGAACAGTCGTGGGACTCGCAACAAGCCGCGCTGCAAGGGTGCTTGCAGTAACGACTTTGCCTGAAGATAGCCGCTCGACTTGTAAGTCCTTGCTACTTTCCAAGCTGATGTCAACAAAGCACAAGCAGGCGGCGCTGTGTCAGTGAAGAAGAAAGCTAAATCATCCACTGTCTCCACGCCTTCATGTTGGGCCCACGCCCTCAATTCAGTGAAGCCATGCTGCACGAGCCATGGCTCGATGGACCCCATGTTGGGCCCACGCTCTCAGCCATTGCCCGAACAAAAGGAAAATGTCAAAAGAACAAAAAGAAAAACTCAAGAGAGCGCCGCTTTGACCTGCAGCTCTTGGTCTGAGCCCAAGCGGTCGCCAATCGCTCATGTTTATTGCAGCTGCACCATGCCTGCCCAGGCCTAACAGCATTACAGACCAACCAACCAACCAACCAACCAACCAACCAACCAACCAACCAACCAACCAACCAACCAACCAGCCAGCCAGCCAGCCAGCCAGCCAGCCAGCCGGCCGGCCGACTGACCGACCCAACACGCCAACGGCTACCCTTCCACCCGCTCACCTTCTCAAAGCACCAGAACGTCCAGCCCCAAAAGAATTGACCAGCCGGACCTCGATTCAAGCTCCATGGGGCAGGTAATGTACGTAAGGTGTCCGTCTTGCCAGCCCCTGCTATGCGACGCTGTTTTTGAAGAGTTCTGGGTGGGAACGGTCAACAGTTCCCTCCTCAGAATCTCATTCCCCACATTCCCACCCCAGAGGATCCTTGGTCCGCGGCCATGTGGATCTCATCAATGAAGAGGATAACCTGCCGCGATACTGCGGAGACCTCCCGCAAAAGCCTGGCTGTTGAGCGAAGGAAACGGTTCCACTTGCTCACCTGTAACTGCGCTGTATCTCTGCGAGTGCCAACAAACAGGTGTTGCCCTGATATCCTATTGGACTGGGAGTGGGCCTTCAAGCGGAAACTTTGGTAGTGTTGCTCTGATATCACTGATATCACTGTCTCAAGAGTAGAAGGGCCACTCTGAAACGGGAAATCTAAAGAAGGGTTGCTCCAAACAAAGGATACAACCAACAACAGTCTACTTTCAGGGATTGAATACATGATTAGAATGGGGTGGTGGAGCACTATCAAACCGGATTTAGTCATAATCATAGGACAGTGTCATCCAGCCCCATCCGTCTGCTGGCTGGGTTGACCATGTTTAGTGTTTTCGGAAGCCGCCAAACAAACAAGTGGTTTAAAGAGTGGCATCCACTGAACCAAAGGGGGCCTTCAAGAAGCAAACAGTCCAGGCAAGTCCATCTAGGTTTTATTGTGGGAGGGTTACTAGGAAGGGTAGCGATGATTTGGCTAGAAATCTTGCAGCCGGATTTGGAAGTGCTCCAACCTGCTAAGAACCACAACGGAGGACTAACTTTAGACCCCAAACCAAATCCAGGTGTTTTTGGTTGGCTGCAATCTCCAGGCTTCGACACCCTGCAACAAGTCAACTTGTTGCTCCTTGAAAGGGAAAATGCAGGAAGCCCAGCAAGGCAATGAAAGCTGGCCAAGCGGACTTCCGGGACAGCCCGAAGTATACGCAACCTCCAGAACAAACATGGAACCCTACCTTCCTTGTAATATCGTGCGTTTTTTTAGCTTTGGAGCAACCTTTCCAAGCCGCGATTACATGGGGGAAAGGAGGGCAATGTTTGTTCCTCATGTGAAATGCGCCGAGCCCGTGGGGAACTCCTTGCGTTCCCGAATCCCATTGGCACGCTGCTGTCCAAAGCTCCGTTTTTCAGCCCCCAACTATCGTCTGTCAAACATTTTGCTCATGTTGCCTGGGACCCGCATGAGGAAGTCTCTTTTCAAAAACCGACGGGGGGGGGGGGAGTCCTTACTATCTTGTTCACCCAACAGCCTTAATGCCCCAAATCTTTGTTGGTTTTTCGGTTGCAGGCAACACACCGGCTCTTGAGAAGTCAGTTTGGGAAACGACCCTTGCAACTGCAACAGAGCTGCTCTTGACAAACCAGTTCAGGACATGACATGGCCAACTGCACGCGCGCTTTTCAGCCCCCAACTATCGTCTGTCAAGCACTTTGCTTCGGCAACAACACCAGCTATTTCAAGAAATCGCCCGAGACATCGGCTACTTGTGCTGCCGCCACACCCAATGCATCATGATCTGACGAATGGCTGGGTCCAAAACTTGCTGTCCATGCTTTCTTCAATGGTCAAGAACCGAAATCGAAGAAGTGACGCAATCATCCCCCTCCCCCCACCCCCTGCACCTCCCCCCACCCAAAAAAGAATCAACCACAAAAAATCACCAAAAATGGAGTTCGTCCCACGGGCGGCTGTGGGCGGTGGTCCCACTACACACGCACGCACGCACGCACGCACGCACGCACGCACGCACGCACGCACGCACGCACGCACCCACACACAGAGGGAGAGAGAGAGAGAGAAAGAGACCGTGCCATGCAGACTCCGACTTGTTTTGCAGTTACTCCAAAAGGAGGTGGTTGCAAAATCATTAGATCCTAAGTCTCCATCATGCCCCGAGTTCTTCCAACAGCACCTCCTCACGGAGCCCGCTCAGCTCCCGCAGCAGCTTCTGCATGCGCTTCTCAAACTCCCCGCGATACCTGCGATGCGATGCATCGCCCGATGCATTTCCCCGCAGCTTTTGGTTTGTTTGTTCTGGCGAGTTTGCTTCTTTCTCCAGATGGGTTTGTCTCAATATGCTGACCCTCAAAATGCATGGTGTCCATTGAGGCTCAGTTCCAACCCGAAAACAGATACCCCAGTCTCATTGCCTGCAAAGTGGGTTGGTAATCCAGGAAACTGAGAAGTATGAACAAGGAGAATGTACCCCCCCCTTTGTGCGCTAGTTTTAGGCATTCCACAATTTTGCCTTAGCAGACAGGGGACCCTTTTTGGGGGGTGATTCTGGTCGATGCTCCAAACAAAAGAGATTTTTACATGGCCCCACTGAATAACTCGGAGCCTTACACCTGAAGTGGTGGTTCGTTGACCAACAGACAACCTTCCGTTGGATGATGAAAAAATCTAAGACAAATACAAGTCTAAGGGCATGGCGGGTAACCGTCAAGTAGAATGAGCAAGTGGCAACACGGAATTGGAATGTCCTTGTTGCTGGGGGGGTGTCCTCTCGCAGGGTTGTCCTTGTCGCCACCTTCGGGGTAATGTGCAAAGCCTTCGTGAATCTGACGATAGAAACGGCCCCCCATCTATTGTTGCAATGTCGACGCCGGAGCAATCAACAGAATCGGTGGATTCGAGCGTGGTCTGACCGAAAAGCAGCCCAAGGGTCCCTCCGCTGCAACAAGACTGCCAGCGTCAATGCTCGGCAGTGCATGTTGAAACGGAAATGAAGGTAAAACCAAAGGAGAAAACTCAAAAAGGTAAGCTAATCTTTCCCGAAGGTGAAAGGCACCCTTTTGTTGGTTGCTCAGGGCAGCACTGAGCAACTGGAAGGCGGCCTGAAGTTCCAGGGACCCGAAGGAACCCTAGCTGTAAGAAACCGTAATGCTGCCCAACCCTGGGCCAAGAACATCACCCTATCACCCCACAAGGGCAACATTTGGCAACGATGGAAAACGGAAACCAAAGGAAACAGTTGACCAACTTTGTGCCAGAGGTGACTCGATCATTGTTCAGGAGCAGTAAAAGGTGCAGTCGGGTCTTGAAACCGTGAATGGAACCCAAAACTAGGGGAGTCACGTGTGCACTTTGAAACAAGGCCAGAAAGGAAAAAGGGTGCAAGCTCCAAAAAAAGACACCCCAGGTGTCAAACAGATTGATTGCACCCGGAAACCCACTTTCCTGACACAGGAGAACAACAAGTGACCAACAAACCCATTTGGCGGTGCTTTTTTGGAGTTGGCACCCTCTTCACCGTGGTTTCAAGGGAAACCACAAGGAAAACCACTTTGGTCCTTCCACTCGGAAAGGGATACCCCACCCGCTTTGATACGCGGTGGACTCGGCGCCTGGTTGAAGCATGAAAAGCAAAAGGAGCCCCGGAATTATTCCAGACACAACACCCAAAGACCAAAAACACCAAAAACGACAAACATCGCAAGAAACAAATCAACAAGCCCCAAAAGCACCCTGCCCCAAACCCCGCAGGGCCCACGTCGGACTAGCAGGCCGACCCCCAGCGCCTTGTGCCGCCCACCAAGGACCCCAGGCTCAACTGAACGAGGCGCCGGCAGCCCAGCAGCTGCCTAACGATCGGCCCAAGGCTATCAGGTAGAACATTGGTGCCTGGCAACACCCTTTTCCCATGTGTCCAACAAGCTGAGATTGCCATCTTTAGAGCCAGGTTTGCAGCCTGCAAAAAGGTCCGGCGATGTTGAACGCAAACGTTTACCCGATCTTCATTGGCAGTTTCACTTTTGTCTACGCAAACCTGGAAAACCATCTATGTAAGAACGACTTGCAAGGGTATATTATAATATACCAGGGCTGGGCATGGTGTATGCTCGTCCCGGAAGCAGAACCCTCTAAATTGGCCTGTGAACTGAGCGCGCGTGCCGTCCGGATCCCGACGTCCCGCCTGGGGAGGTTCTGCCGGAGATGGATGCGCCTCGCAACCTCGGGGGTTCGATGCACTCCATGCGCATCCAACTGGACCCGAAACTCATACGCACCCAAAACCTGAGTTGAATGTTTCTCTGCTTCGACGGGCACATAGGTCCACAGCGTGACCATGACTTGGTCGGATGACACACTAGGCCTCAAAAGACCCAGTTTTGGCCGCGTTTGGAAATCTGACTGGTCCGGGTTGGGCAATTTAGACGCCCTGCAGGCGGCTAAGATACTTTTGGTGGCTGTCAGCCAAACAACTGGTAAACCAATGTGTGGCTCGCTCATGGCGACCTGAGACCATAGCTTTGCTGTGCGCTACACTCCTTTGGTGGCAAGCCTGGCAGTCTGCTGGATATGAATTGAAACTCAGGACGCTTTGGCGGACATCATTCACATTGTGTTTTGTGTCCACCGGCCAGTTTGGAGGGTGTTCCCAATACATGTCATGCCCTGCTATTTAAGAGCTTCGCCCCGCACCACGTGCGCAAGCGCACAACACAGAGACAAAGGCACGACTGAGGCAGACAGAGACCAATCTCTTGACAAAGGCAACGTAGCATTCTGTGAAGCATTGATGCGTTGCTAATCCCAATGCTTTGTCTACTACCAAATCCCCACCCACCCCTTGCCCCAACGAATCCAGGACCAAGCGAAAGCCACCTCCAAAGTCAAATGCCTCTATCCCCACCCAGCCGATTTGGTCCGCTGACGTCCAGTGGACACGCAGAAAAGACGGCCCCCCTGACCGCTGTTTTTGGTACTTGATTTTGAAGGGAACCCAAACCACAAGAATGAAGGGAAAAAAAAGCAGCACCACGATCCCCGCCCAGACACTTGACCTGGCAACCGCCGGATCTCCATCGACTCGATCAATCCAAGTTGAGGCCGAAGGGCCTCCTCCACCAGAGCCGTCTTGCCCACACCGGGTGCGCCCAGCAAACACACCTCGCACGCACGTGAGCCCACAAAAACCAAGAGATCTCCGGCCTTCATAACCACCAACTCAATTTGATCGAGTCTTTGGAAGCTGTGGGTTCTCCAACCTCAACAAGAAAAGGAATCAACATCCTCTGGGTCACGTCTACCTTCTGGAAGGTTTGGGTGAGAACGTCACGGGCGCCCAGGCGTTGGGCTTGTTGCGCCTCGCCAGCACCTGCAGCACCCGCTGGACTTCCTGCGGGCTCTTTGACCATGAAACTGCCGAGCTTTTGGGAAGACGGAACCTTGGCCCAACCCCAGGGTACACCAAAGAAATATGCCCGGTTCATGTGTCCCTTTTAACCTTATGTGTATATATACATATATATATATATACATATATATATATATAATATACATACATATACATATCATATATTTATATATACATACTGTGTATACATCGTCTCATCCGAACCTCCCAACCTCTAAGAACACCTCCAACCTCCAAATCTCCAATTTGGGGAAGTAAGAACTAGGCACCCCTGGTTTGAAATCTGGGTTTGGACATGTCTCTGGCTTGATCCCGCTGTAAGTAGGCCAAGGGAAATGTTGCCCGCACCCCTGCGTTCAATTGGGTCAGAGTCTCCCTTGTTGTTCTTTCGCTGGAACCCCCTGATTGAAACCTATGAATGTTTAGGAATCAGGTGTCAAGTACCAAATGCCTTCTCCTGAGCCCACAGTTCTGTCTGCTGGCCTGGTCAGAAGCGAGCTCATACCACCTCACCGACAAGCCCCGAGGTTGAACCTCGAAATGACTTGTTGAGCTTGGAAAGCATTGGCGGTGTGTCAAAATGTTGGGGGCCCTTTTGTCAAGGAACTGCATGCCCCTAATGTACCCATACATACGTATACAGCACGTGCATGCCCATGCATTGCTTTGCTGGTTTTCGATTGACACTCCTCAAAATTAGCATGCACCCCCCCCTCCCCGACGGCAAAAACAACTTCCAGATTAACATGGAACCCAACACCCTCGTGGTTTGGGGAATTGGATCCACTTTAGCTCCATGTTCGTTAGGAGAATGGCCTGACCTGTTCCACTTGGAACCCCACCCCACCCATCCCCAGGAAAACCCAGCCTCGTCCCGGCCAAAGACTGCGTCCAGGCGACCCGCGGCAGCTTCTGCCACTAGGTCCTCACACACCCAATGACCTCAACACCTGACCCAAGTTCATAGAAAGCAGGAGGAGTTTCTACAGGAAATTAGCCCCCAAAAGACAAACATTTCTGTAGAATCTTCTGTAGCAGATTTGCTGGATGACTTCACTGGCCAGAAAAAGTGGCTAAACTCGTTGGGCCTTGGCTAAGATGATGAAGAAATCGGCCAACAAAAAGCTTGAAGTGTGTGAATTCAACGGCTAGGTGAAGAGTCAAGGGAGCCTTTTTGGTTGATTGTACACAAGAGTGACACCAATCATCTGGGGCAAAAAAATATTTGGGCTGAATCTGCTTGGTTTTGCATGGCTTGCTGGCAATCCACACTCGAGGGATCCTTAGGGAGGATTAAAATCGGGGGCTGACGAATCCTCACCAGGTGCCCTGAGCGAACAGGTTTCTCCCGAATTCAGAGCAGGTCGGAGGAACTGAGGAACTAACACAAATCTGGAAGGCCAGACCTAGACCCCTGCAACAAACCAAACAGTTAAAGCCAAAAGTCAAAATGATGAGCCAACTCTGCCTAAGAAGAAAAAAAATGTTATCTTTTGGGGCCGCGGTGGAAACTTACCAAAATGGCGAGCCCAAGACTTCCAAAAGTCTTCGCTGTGGACTGAGTGAACACGTAGCGTCCAGTCCATGCGGGCATCAGTCTTGATCGGGAACCCGTTGGTGAATGTATGATCACCGGAGACATGTTCAGGGTATTCCCAACTGAAATCCAGAGCCAGATTTTTTGACCTCCAGGTTTCGTGCTTGCAAACCCAACGAGATCGATCGGGCATCAAATATCCGATCCGGACGCATGATGCGTGCAGTTGGGAGAGTACATAGATGGGTCCGAATAGCTGTTCTGGTTTCTTCCCACCAATTAACATGGAAGTTGTCTCCTCTCCGAGAAGACAGTCCAAACACAAGTAGCTGCGATTCCAGGCTGTCCTCTCCCTCTCCCTTGTATTGCAATCTTTCAAGTGGATCCCCAACTCTTTCGGCGGTCAAAATGTGTGCTTCCTGTTGTGAACATGGGGAAAAAATGTGAGTTCCCTTTTCTTGGAGGAAAAATTAGTGCGTCCCACAATGTCCTTCCCACATCCATAGACGACAGATTGTGTTGAGAGAACCTCATTTGAAAGCAACCCGCAAACGTCCACCGGAGTTCTCCACTCAACTCCAGGGATTCAGCAAGGGCCGGTCCTTTCCAAAACGCTCCAGAATGGACTCGTCATCCCCCTGGCATGATGGAGACAGCCGGATATGCCGAAACTCCTGATTTTCACGGCAGTGTTTTCCTTGTGTTGGCTTTACTCCTTACTTCTCACAGCTTCAGCTTGTGGCGGTTTTACGTATGATGGATGTTCATCTGGTGGATCTACTTCTGTTGATGGCGTTGCTTCTCCTGGTGTTACTTTTCACTTTTCTTGTGATGGTTGTACTTCTAGTAGGTTGACGTCTCATGGTGCACATCTGATTTTTAGTTCTGATGGCCGTACGTCTCATTGCTTCACCTTGAAGATTTTACTTGACCCGGTGTGTCACTCATGGTTTGACTACTGCGGGTCAGTCTTATCCTGGTGTTGCTTCTCATTGCTTTGCATATCATGGGTTACGTGTGGTGCCTTTGTTATTCATGGTTGTGCTTATCATGGTTTGTTTCTAGTGGTTTTCCTTCTCCTGGCTTTACTTCTTGGGGTGTATGGTGCTGCTTGTCCTGGTTTTTACTTCTGATAAGATTTGCCAACCAACCCCCCACCCCCCCCCCAAGGCAACCGAAACTGTTTCGGCGGTTCACATGCCAAATTGTGCCACCCTTCTTGAGACTCTCTACGATTGGGGCCCTGGCCCGTGACAGTTAGAATAAGGTTCTCCGATTCGGGGTTTGCTTAGATTTCCCCGTTAAACAATGCAAGGAAAAAAGTACCAAAAAGCAGAAAGGACACCCCCTAAAGCGTGCCCAGACCGCTTTCCATACCACAAAGCAAATACCGGGAACCCTTTGCAAGGTGAATCACAATCAAAAGCTGGTATTAACATGGAACCAAAGTCGTCGTGTGAAGAATCAAGAGGACATCCCCTCCTATTTACGCACGGGACTGCGCCTTACTAACCTTCACTTTGATGTGCAGCCTGTCATTGACAACCAACGCTCCTCCATGATCCACTGGCCTCTTCACCAGCCTCTGCAGCCCGAGGCCTGCAAACGAGGCACTCCAGAGACTTCCCTCTGCGTGTCGTTTGGGCCCAACAAAATCGAAGTGGGAGCCATTCAAAACCCCTCCAGCACCAGGGAAGATACCGCGAAAAACACAAGGTCTGCAAGTTTAGTCAATACAAGTTACTGACATGGAACAATGCGGGGCTCCTCCAAAAATGAGATTTGCCCCAATGGGTGCAGGCATCGGCTTTCAACCCGCCCCCTATCCCCCTTTTGTGGGACAGTCATCGGATTTCTGAGGCCTCTATTTTTGCAAGCAGGAAGCGAAAAAGAAAGGGTGACTTCTGGGAAGTCATGTCGTTGCTTTCACCTTCCAAGGCCATTCAGATGAGGAAAATAATAATCTATGGATCTCATCTCCGATTGCAAGGAGAGCAGCTGATTCATGTGGAGAAAAGCCAAAATATGGGACCCCAAAAATTGAGGCTTCTTTTTAAATCAACAGGGTACCAAGACTCGCAAAACGCACACCCATCTGGAGATGTTTGCTTCAACACGCCTCCTTCATCTGGAAATGTCGGTGTTTCTCGATATAGGGAAGACCTCACAGGTTGCCTCCCTTTGGTTTCCGGCTAAAGCCAACCAACGAGGGGTTCATCATGTTGAGAAACCCAGTGGTTGCTTTTGACAAACGTTTCCAAAAATCCCGGCCCTTCCCGAGCGGGGAGAAGTCGGTCTCCGGCCTCTCCCGCTGCATAAGCAACGGTGCCGACGCGCCAGGCCTAGGAAACAGCGTGTTCTCGAGATTCTTAGCCTGGGTTGAACATGAAGCATCTGCGCGAATTACCATACTATCTATTCGGGAATGAACAAATCGGAAATAAGGGAGACTCCTAGTGAGGGACCTTTATGGGTGGGCTCGTTTTACCTAGGTGAGCTCGAGATTGTCTTCACAGAAGTATACCCCCATGGAAAAGTGATGTTCTAGTGGAGAAACCGCCACTTTTTGAAAGGTAAAAAGGTCAATGGGAACCCAGGAATAAACCCCTGGTTGATTTTGATGGGGGCCCGAGAGAATCTGGGCCATTGTTTGAGGAAACATACCGGGCACAAAAATCCGCCAGGCTCGACTTGGACCCAGGGTCAAAGGATCTGAGGTCAAAGGACCTGAGGCCGAACCAAAGCTTGGCGTTGTATATTTGCCCTGTTGCCAAAAGAGCCCCTTGGATATGCACCCGGATCCCTCTCCGGACATTCTCTCTCTGGGCAAGTTCCACGATTCACCCACCTGAAACGAGACATGCCCTGGTCAGCTCGATTACTTTCGTTTTCCCAAATCCATCGCTGCTGATTTCCTTCAAGGGGGATAGGCTCAAGCAGACCCTGGTGACGGCCTGAGAACCGCCAAGAGGGAGAAGTTGAGATTGTCTAGAAAAGGGGGACCCCTCAAGATCGTTTCTTGTCCATTGAGTTTTCCTTTACGCTGCCCAACGTCCCTGATGGCCGCCGACAGTCGCCATCAGTCACTATATAATAGTTCTATGAGTTGCTGCACTGGCTCTCCTTGGCTCTGAGCCAGATGGCGTCTCTGTTTAACCAAAACCAATAAAGGGCGCCTGTGGAAACAGGGTACACTTGTCGTTGGGTTAAAGGCAAACCAAAATGAGAACCAGTACTCTTGGTGTCTCCCCTATGTTGACACATACCCTGTGATCAAAGGAAAACCGCGCAAAAAGGCGAGTCCAGGGCCGCGGCGGCGGCACTAAGCGCTGGCCGGAGGCCTAAGGCATGGTGATTGCTGTGTGCCCAATGACGGAAGGCTGAGCAATGGGTCTTCAGATGTTGTCTTCTTTAAACGTCGCCCCTCCAAAAGAAGGCTTTTGCCGAGATAGCCCAAAAGGTCCTCACGGACCTTGGATTCCGACTTTCTGCGTTCTTGCTGGGTCAGGTTGCCCCAAGCAAACAACACCCCCTTTCCTTCTGAGGGGCCCAAAAGCAAAGCTGGGACATTCAGTACGACCACACTCATGCTAAGCTCGTGTTTGCCCAAAGCTCCATGGTTCTTTCAGAAGGCAGCCAATATGTGCCAAGAGACAAAGCGATGCACCATGAAACCAGATCAACTCATATCCACCCTTCAAGCAATGCAATAGAAAAACAATGAGCAACTCCTCCTCTAAACACCACCGCGAAAAAAGGATTGAGCAAATATACTTTATCAACGTTTTCATCCTAGGACTTAAATCATTTCTACAACCATCATTGCTTGGCCTTGGGCACATAGGCTTTTCGTCTTTGGCAGTTGGCCTGTCCAAACTGGGGCTCCTCCTTTTGCGAGCGGCTTTAACACTGGCATGAAGCACCAACCATCCAAAGGGGTCGGCTTCCTCGGTCTCTTGTCCATGCCATGGCCAATCTGTCTCAGATGTTCCCAAATGTTGACCCAGAAAAGGGCGTTCTGTCTAAACATGGCCTTTCCAAAGCGTTTTGCTCAAAAATCAGCAAGAACGTAAGTCTCAGGCGCGACACCCCAGCCACCCCATCCTTCCCGCCTGCAGCGCCACTTTGAGCCCCTCCGCCGACAAGCCGTGGCGCTGCAGGAGCTCGGCCAAACCTGGGGGACGGCTCGCCTTCTGAGTGACTTGGGGGGGGGGGGGGGGGCAAAAACAACAACATTGAGTGTGTTTGTTTGCAGCAGGGTACCCTGTTCACCTTGTTTTCAAGGGAAACGGAAGGAAAATCACCACTTGTATGTTCCCCCTACTTCGGCAAGTGCCCAATTGATGCAGGCTACCAAAAGTAGGGTGATCGCTACTTTCTTGCATTGCCGCTTGAGGATTGGCGTTTCAAACCTTGAGTGGATTGGCCACCAAACATTTTGCTCACCATAAAGCCTGGGAGCTCGGGGAGACACCAGTCTCAGTTTGTCCAAGTATACAAGGTAGGTCTCGAAATGGGAGACTCCTCCAAATCGGTTTTGCTTGCAACTCAGCAAAATGGGTGCCCCAAAAGAAAGACACGCTCAAGTCACCCTGACGCCCTTCGAATTCCTCTTCCTTCAGGCAAATCGGCTAAGGTCCTGCAAACAACCATGTTTAGAGTCTCCCAACATGAGGGAAACTGCAAATGGAAGCCCAGCGGTCACACTCCTCCCCGAGTTACATTTTTCAGGTTCTGCAGAGAGTGGACAATGCTGCTGCTACTTGGGGGAAGAAAGCAAAACATGACCTAAAAGTTGATGAGATAAACAAAGACATGGTGTATGTATATGAACAATTGGAAACCAGAGCTTCCCGTTTGCCTGTGGTTTGTGTTTTTGGGAAATCCTGCTGTTCAATATGTATACTTATTTACATGTATATCATTGTACATAGAGTATGTATCCGCTTTCATGGACCCAAAACCACTTTTTGGGCCCACACAACCCTCCGCCCTCCCGCTCAAAACCTGAGTCCCCCCGCGCAGCTCTGGCGTGAAGAGCGCCGCACAGAGGTCCCGGAGCCCCACCTCACGCGAGCGAACCGAACGCTCCCATCGAGATGGGCCATTCGTCCAAACCTTCAGTTTTGCTGATCCCTTGATAAAAGCGGTCTATGTTGTGTGGGGATGTGTCAGGAATCCCCCCATGCTATAACAAATCCAGAAGTCTAAGGCTGCAGCTTCATACCCCGGCGATAGGTCACGCTAGTTGTGGTTCTGGCTTAAAAGTTAGACCCTCATCTTTCACGCATCGACAGATGTTGGGGACCCTGTTGTTCCAACCCCATAACCTTCTGTTTGGCTCTCTTTGCACCTCTTGACCTTGGATTTCAAAAAACAAGCTCGGGGGGTCGAAAAAAAGAACGAGTCTCCAAATACGATTTGTACCACAGGAAAAATTCGAGAGGACACCAGAAACTTTACTGGTCCCCTGGTTTTTGTGGAAAATATCAGTGCGTTCCCTTTTCTCGTCCCTCCCAAATGGACCATAGAAGAAACAGAAAATTTGACAGTTCCCTACATTGCCCCATTAAGCAGCAGCCCTACCACGGGGAACTCACCTTCAATGGGCCTGCTTGAACCTAGCAAGGAGGGAACGAACCTCATTTGCCAGAAGGGCCCCCGCGGAAGAACCCGCCTTGGCGGGCGCGCGCTGCGCCGCTGCCGCATCCAGCAGCTCCTGCAACGCCTGGCTTTCTGAGGTGAGCGGTGTTCAATGAACGGGCGACAGTTGTCGTTGGTGGGACAGTGGAAGCCCTAAATATTGCAAGTGCAGCCAAACCACATGTTGACACCGCTTCTGTGGCATCGCGCTGCGTGCGGACCCCTCTCCCCAAGTTACAATGTTGAAGCCAAGCACGTAACCCGTCTTCCAGGGCCCAATATATTGCAAGTTCAACACTGTAGCAGGGGAGGGGGGCCGCAAATGTCATGTCGCAGTGCTTCTTTTAGTGGACCGTGCCCTCTGTTTGTTCTGCTCCGCACTTGCAATATTTAGGGCTTCAACCGGATTGTTCTTTCTCTAGGGTTCTAATGCTTGATGCAGCCAGCCGCCAAGGTCCAATACTACCCGCCCAAACTGCCCAATTGTAGCTCCTGGTCGCCTCAAAACAAGAAAGTTCAATTACACCCGCCACAGGAGGAGATCCATTGCGGCCTTAAGCAAACCCAGAAATGTGTTCCTGCGTTCCCTGGAGCCCAACCATTTTGCCACCCCCAGCGCCACTGGTTTCACATGTGCACACCGCGCCTCCCCCTGGCCGTCCCTGGCACGCGCCAGCAGCTCCCCAGCCGCGCCCACCACGTCCGCGCCTCGGTTGGGAGCCAAAGGTGGTCACTCAGATCTATAACCAAGCCATGAGCACGGAAAGAAAACCAGGCACAAACCCCGTGCAAGAGAACTGCCTATACTCTCTACTAATCCAGCCTGGGCGCCTGCGTAAACTACCCCCCCTTCCAACGCTGTAGTAAGTAACTGTTCTACAGCTATACTTCTTGATGCACACATGTCAACCCAGTGCTGAAACTAAATGGAAAGAGACATCCTGTGTCGGGCCCCACCTTGACCAGCGGGTAGTGGGCTTGCTCACATCATCTCATGTCCATTCCAGCAAGCAAAGGCAGATGCGATACATTGTGTTTTGCCTGGAGCTCACCATGTACCGAAACGGGTGTTCCTGGCACCACTGCAACGACCTCCCAGAAAGAAGCACAGCCGCCCAAACAGTTGCCACCAGCTGCTGAGGTGCGCTGGTGCGAGAGGCCTGCTCACACTAGTAACAAGTGGCTCGCGAAGAACCAGATCAGGGTTCGCATTTTTGCACGCCTCCCTAACCTTCTCATCCATGGTACACAGAGAAGGCTCGGGTTTTTCCACTCACTTCTAACTTCTGAGCCGCCGGCCCCAGGGGGTCGGAGCCCCAGTGGTGCCAAGCACCTACCAATGGTCCACATAAGAAAAAGTGGCCCAAGCCAAGACCTGATCATACTCGTGACATGTGATTCTGCGCCTTGATTTCAACATCTGGCCTGAACACATCCCCCGCAAAAAGAAGTTTACTCTAAATTGGGCCAACAGGCGATGTTGAAAAGGGACACAGGCCTTGATGTGAGTGGGGAAACAACCATTGTCCACAGGGTCAAATGGTGAAAGCTCGAACCAAAATCCAACCAAGTCTGATTCCCTATGTAAAAGCAACCCAAAAGGGAACTCTAAAATGTGTATTGGAATGCCTTTTAGGGTTGGCAGACCCAAATCTTGAGGCTCTCGTTGATTTTCAGGTGGGTATCCAAGACCCCTGATTTGGTCTTTGACCTCGCGCAACTCAATTCCCAAAGGTATCAGGGCCAGGCCTGCTCCTGGGAAATGAAGCCAAAAACACAAAAGGACAAAAGTGGGAAAATGGCAACTTCAGTCTGGCAATTTTCAATGGGCAACCAAAACACTTGCGCTTGCAAGGCTCGCCGTGGCCTTGATTCACATGATGGCTACCGAGACGCCTCCGCGACCAGCACGTAGGCAACATGAGCCTGCGCAGAGCGAAAAACAAGGCGGAAGGCCTAATGGGCTTCGGAAATCCAAGGATGGCAGGAAAGCTCTGAAAGCAAACCATCGGAGGGTTTTGGAAGACTACGGTCCTCTTGAAAAGGCTCCCTGTCCACTTCCACTATTCTCGGAAAGAGGGCATTCACCTACGACCTTACGGTAAGCTGGTTCAAAAGTACCCCACAACCCCATACTAATCTTATATTGCGTGGGCCTGTGCCACCAGATGGAGATCCAATTTTCCTCTGTTGTGATCTTTTGGGGGACGGGAGCGGGGAAGGGGAGGAATCCTTGGGGTTGCAAGAAGAGACTCAAAACCATACCATCACAAAGAGGCCCACAATCGAAGCACACCATGTCAGCTAAAAACCATATGAATTCTCTCACACTGACGCGGACACGCCAACTATCTCCGCGTTCTTGGCCAACATCCGAATTTACATGCAAAAACGCGCAGAAATCCTTTGCGTAGCCAGCAGCCCCATAAATTGTCAGGTTCTTACATCTTCCCAACCCTGAGAAAGATAGCAAAAAAATGTTTGCAGCCACCCACCACAAATGAACAGAGCCTAAAAAACCAAACAACTGAAAAACACGGCGAGAAAAGTGACCAAAAAACGGGGGTCCCCCATCCGAAAACGGGGGTCCCCCATTTTAGTAGAACCATCCCATGAGACTTGTGCGCGGAGTGCTTGCAGGTAGGTGTATCATTGGCTTCTCCCAACTGAGGAGTTGAGCTTTCGCGTGACGGTCACGTGGGAGTGCCGGCATTGGGAGCTCCATGACGCTCTCAAGTGGTCCAGCCCTGACCGGGCTGTGGACAAACAAGTGGCAGCTGAGTACTCCGCCCAGGTCTCACTCCAAGTGGCCCAGGTCTTACTCCGGCCCTGTGAAGTCAGATGGATTGTCTGAAATAGGTGCTCCCCATCACAAAGACACCCCCAAAACGTTTTAGGTGCGGAGAAAGGAACCACACCCATCTCTGTTGTTGGGCTGGCCCACAAGAAATCAAATGGCAACCGACTAGCCTTTCAGTCCATGTCCAATTTAACCAATTTTGGGAACCCCCAGTTTCTTGAGGGAACAACCATGAGAAAAAACCAGCCGCAATGGTGCTGACACATTCCCATGTTTGCTGTTGAAAAAATGGGGGATGGCTGTATCTGGAGGTCCTGCTAAATGTGGAGTCTACCACAAGGACCCCCCAGATCACGGAGCAATATGGGGGCCTCAATAGTTACACACGTGATTCTCTCACGGTGAGTCGCGGCTTGATTCTTAGTTCGGCCTTTGAAGTCCCGCAACAACCTCCATCGGCCCACTGGGAGCCCAGGCCGCGCCGCACCGGGCGTTGTGGCTGTTGGCTAACTCCTCGGACCTCCGCAGCGCCTGGTTTGGCTTGGCGTTGCAACAGTAGTGGTTTAAACATGTTAACAAAGGCGACCCTGGCTTAAAACCTTCTTCCCGCAAATGAATTCATACCTGCGGGATGGAATCTGGAAAGGTCAGATTCACCTTGGAAGGGACTATTTCCCTGCAGGCACTACCCACACCCTCTCGAACTTGCCCCAGGGACGCCCCAAAGCCAGGTTTGGCAAAGACCCCATAGCTGTCAAGACCGTGCTGTTGGGCAAGGCTAAAAAGACCGATACTGGGGAAAAAACAGATCAAAGGGTTGGGTTGCAGTTGAGAATCATGACTTTCTGCTTAACCGGCGGGGATGCAGGAAACCCCAGAGGGCAAAGCAGTTCTTAGGGGATCCAACAACAAGTCTGGCAACGGTTTGAGACCCACCCCCACCCCCCCCTGCATGGCCTTCAGAGCATCTGGAGAGTAATCCCCCCGCTGCAGATCCTGAATCCAAGCCTCGCTCGAGAGTCTCGGCTGAAGCTCCAGAAACAGGCCTACCACCAAACGCGCCTGTGTTGGTTTACGATAGTCTTGCGGGAAGGGGGGTTGCGGGGGTTTCCCCGAAGAGGGTGTGAAAGATTGGTGCAACTGGACCCTGCGATGGACATCGCTTACATGAAAAATCAAGTCCACACGCCTTTGAGGGTATTCCCCATAACCAATGCGAGTACCCACTGATGGTTCTCAAGGGACAACAGGAGAGACACTGAGGGTGTCCAGAGTGTAGGAGCAACTGCCTTCGCTTGGCCAAGCAGCAACATGGCAGCTAAAAGAAGTGCGCAAGCTGCAAGAACAGTTGGGGGTCTCTTCAGAAGTAGACATGCCTGTTCTGCCTTTGCGCTTGCGCTTTTGGATGAATTGAACAGCAACATGTCTTCAAATATAGCAGGTACACTAAACACAAACCACTCTACACTTGGGGGTCAATACAAATCACAAACTCTTCATTCAAAGGAGAGGGGACTCTGTACTGCTGGTTGAGCCAATGGGCAATCACAGTGACGCACAAACTGGCACAACAGGAATCCCCAAGAGACTTTATCATGGGTTGAGCTCGTTTTACCCCCAAAGCGATGAGCTCCTCATGACGGCGGAATCCACTGAACAACCGGATAGATTGTTCCAAAGGTCAAAGGTATGCTTTCAAAGGACGCCCCACAATCTCTGGTTGACCCATACTCGGGGGGACCCTAAACGGGTTCCTATAAACGGGCTCCAGCTAGTGGCAAGGCAGAATCCTGTGTGCAGCTTCCAAGAACCTGTGTGTGTGTGTGTGTCTGTGTTACAGTATCACCCGTGGGTCACCCAACAAATGGTTGATCCCTACCTGAATTCATCCAATAGCACCAGCGTCCGAGGTCCCTGACCCCTGAGGCAAGCGCCGGCGGCGGGATGCGCAGGTTGAAGCCGCCCCTCGGCTGGCAGTGGCTTTCCAAGGTGGAAAAGAGAGGCAAAACAAAGCTTTGTTGTCCATGTTCAGCAGGGGAGTAACAAAACCTACCACCACCCAACTGCATTTCCCCATCTTCGACCTGAGGGATGTTGCTTGGACAGTACATACTTGGAACCTGAGCATGGTGTGGTGCTTGACATGTTAAAGAATTCTCAAGGGCCAAATCGGTGAGTGGACGCAACTCATTGTGATACAGGTTTGGCTCCAAGCGTTTTGAAACCTTCACAAGCTCGCTGGTTCTCAACGGGAATGAGGGAATGACCCCAGTTAAACGATCCCTCGTGGCTTCCTTTGAGCACGCCGCAGCTTGAGCCTTGGGGAAACGGCAACTCACATGGAACTCTCAAAACAAGAAATTTGGAGCTTCCAGGATGTACAACCGGATCGATCTGAGTAATGACAAATGAGCCCTGTGGCTCACTGCCATGAAAGAAAGCGGGAAAAAAAGCAACCCCCAGTCACCAGTAAAGGGTAAAATCGTCAAACTTCCCCTGAAGTCTGCAGGCTGGAGTGGTCATTTCGTGACAACTCGGTCAAGTGTTTTTGTGTCTTGTTTGCTGAGTGGGGAGAACCAGCCATTGTCACAAAGGTCAATGGTTGAAGGAATCAACCAAGAAATAATAATGGACATCCCCAAAAGTCATTTGGGGCGAGGCAGATGGCCGCCCTGCGAAATATTGAGTGTGTCTCTAAATGGGAACCCTCAGAATGGAAGGTGTGCCTTTGGTTTCTCTTTCAAACAAGCCCAAAAGGGCACCAACTTGAAACAAGACATACCAATACTGTGCATGGAGCAAATCCTGCACCAGTTGAAGTGGATGAAATTATTTGAATACTGCATTGAATCCCCTATCAACTGGTGCAAAGTGGATTTCGTCCATGCACAGCATGGTCTCAGGCAGCGTATAAAACAAAGCCCCCCCTTCAGGGTTGCCACCGGAGGTTGGAATGAAGAAAGAGTTCTTCTCTGCTGGAGCTGACACGCCGGAAAGTTTCAATCCACGAACTTTCTGCTCAAGAGTTTGTCACTTGCGCTTCAAATTGGCATGGCCACTCGAACCGAAAGAGAACACCCGACAGGGTTCCACTTTTGGATTCCCTCAGACTTGGATCCAGCCTCGGGTCCGGGCCCCCACCCCGCTATCCAGGCGTCCCAACCCCTGGTGACCGGCCCAGCCCTCGTCGTGGCCCATGGCGCTCACAGCAGAGGCTCGAGCGCGAAAAAGGAAAAGCTGTTCAACGGGAGCTGCAGGCCGCAGGTCTTCTTTTCTGTCGGCCGTTGTTTCAGCCTCGGGCTTTGCGGAAAACACAGGGGTAAAAGACCAAAAGAAAGGCCGCGGCCTGTCCCCAAAACAGAAGGCATTGCCGACATTGCCGCTTTCTTGGCGGTGTTTTTCCCAGGTTTCAGCCACGGCCCCGCAGACCTGTTAAGACTGCCTGCTCAGAAACATAGAAGGGTTGCCCCTCAAAATGTGTAGGCTTCCGTTTAGAGAATCATGCCAAACGAAGCGCTCTAAACAAGGGCCGTTCTTTGCATCCTTTGCCTGCATGATTGGCTCGATGTCAAGTCTCTGAGCCTCACTGGCTGAAAGACTAGCAGATCTGGGGGTCCAAGAGTCCCAGCGCAGTGGCAAACAATTCTCTCAACTTGCGAGCGTTTTTGGCAAGGGTGTCACAAGGGTCTACCATGTTCTTTGTGGGCATGCTCTCCCCTTCTGGCTTCAAAAATTCCCACTGCCCACCCCAAAGCAAAAGCGTTACTTGAAATTCTGGTCTCGGGAGGAAGCCACAGGCTAGCATCCCGAAAAGCTTTTCTGACGGAATGTTCGATTCGAGCGGTAGGCAGGGGTAGGACAGTTCAAGTTGTTTCTCTGCGCCGTGTCCCGAAAGTTGTCGGCGGCCCCAGTTTTCTCGACGCCCCATATGGATCAACGTGAGCCAGTCTCAGGCACCCAAAAACCGTCTTGTTTTGCACCAAGCGTTCGCAGCGAGGATCTTGAATTTGGTATGTACTCTTGATATGGATGACCCTCAAAACTATCCCTTTTCCACCAATGATGAAAAACAAGAAGATCCGCCAAGCACTTTCCCTGCAGAGATGTTTGCCCGTCAATGTCCGAAAGCATCTCAAGGCAGTCCGCTTCTCAATGTGATATTTAGTTGAAATCTCGGAAATCTAGAGAAAACACCCAGCAAAAAGCACTGCATGCGTTGCTTGAGTTGAGACTCGCAAGTGAATCCGTGCGGGAGGTGTTGAATGGATCTCACATGCAAAGCACCGTTGTATGGACTGCCTTTGTCACAACACCGACTGCCGACTGCCAACAGCCGCGTTACGCCGGCGCCTTTTTTCGCGCTGCCGGGGCCTTCAGGCCGGGGAAGTCAGATGAAGCCACAACCGCAGTGGCGATCATCGGGTCCCAGGCGCAACTTGCAGGTTGAAGCGGCCGCAACTTGAGGGTACCGACGTTTACCAACTGGGATGGTCATTTGGCATTTGGGTATGAATTTCAATTGGCATCCCACGTTGGGCATCCAAACATTCATGGGTTTATGCCCATCATGTTTGATAAGGTTCCCCGTTAAGCATTCGTATGTCAAGCTGAGCAGTCAGGCCTGGGCGAAGCGAATTAGAACGCAGAGGCTCTGCATGCACTGGGCAACGTGAACCGAATTGTTACAAAGGCGATGTTCGCACACACCAGAATTGGGTTTGTCTCCAATGGTACTCAAGGATTGGGTTGGCGTACGTGTCCAGTTGCTTCCTGGGAGAATGCCCGCAACTGACCTGAGTTGACTAGCTCAAGCTTCAACTCTTTGGGCCTGGAATGAGTTCAACTGGCAACAAAACTTCAAGTTTGTCAGGTACGGCAAGGGAACCCTGAAGAGACAAACCCAAATACACATGCAAGTGCTCAGGCGAAGCGGAGGGCACCTCTCGGTGTCGAGTCTTGGCTTCAAAGTTGAATGAAGTCGGATGCTGTGGTTTAGCCCCTTTTGTCCACGGGGGCAATTTACCCATTGTGCTAGTCCCCAAAAGAAGACAAAAAACAAAAAACACATCTTGCTATGTGAAATCCTCGTCGGTCCTCTCTTCGGAGTGTAATCCCAGGGTGCAATTCAAATATATGTCGGTTGACAGCACCAAAAAGAAACTCTGAAAACCCCTTCTAAACGCTGAGTCTGATGGACCCGCTGTTCAATTGCTATCCCTTTGAGAGACCCTCCCAGCCTTAAGTTGGTGCAAGCTCTGCTCTGCGCTTTGCCTCACTAGCGATCCATGTACCCGTCACATGCACCACATGTATAAACCGCATGTATACCAGCGTATGGAGCAAGGGTACTCGCAATATATGTAAAGTAAGCACGAAGGGAACAATGAGTAAAAACTGTTTGCATATCATGCGCAGAGTATATCAGCTCAAGTTACCCTTGAAAAAGAGTAATATGCTATTGAAAATACAAAAAATGCATGAGTACCTCAGTGGCCCTCTTGGGGTAAATGGTTGATGCCTTGGACTGCAAACCTCAAAACTGAGGCCGCGGCACTCATCACTTCCGCGCCCTTTCGCCGACGCACGGCGCGGGTTTCGCTGGAAGGCTGTTTTAGGGGAGCCTCCGTTTTCTCTCTTGGGACTCGTCAGGGTTCCTCCAAGAGTCCTGGGCAGAAACGTGGCATCCCCTGAAAATGGAAACCAAAAACACAAATTGTCTACCTTGGTCATTGATCATCTTTTTGGGTTGGAGCCTTCAGTTTCCCTTGTTCAGGGTTGATCAGATCCGGGCACAAGGTTAGAAGTTTGGCCGAGGCGAAGTAAAGAAAACACGAGCAATTGTCTACCCTTGTGGTTTGGCAATCTAACCTTTGGGGCCCTAGTGATTGCTCAAAGGAGCCACGGTCAAAATCTGTGTTTACAACATGCGGTTACACTCAAGAACATGAAAAGTGAGAGCTGCAGAAATGTCCATGTCCCCCACGTCCGAGCGCCCTGAATGTTGACCGAGCTTCATATGAGCCACAATCAAGCTCTGACTCTCAAGGAGTGTACAAAACCCATGGTAAAGAATCAACAGAGCGGATGTCCGCACCTATTTATGAAGATGTCCTATACTAGCCTCCAAATACCCAGCACCCTTTCATGTTACACCTCCTTAGGTCAAGTCTACAGGTATGCAGGACCCCCCTGTCACCCCACCCCACTCGTAGGTTTCAACCCACGGTTTCAAGGAGAATGAACATCCAAGCATGACCTCATGCGTCAAAAGGGAAACTACAAAAACCACGACCGGAGAAAAATGAATGGGCAAACTGAGACCGCTAGACGGGTCTTTCAGGGTGATTTGTAGGGCCGCTGATGTCTCCCTTGGTCGTCCTCTGGTTACATGTCGAGAAGGGCGCAATGACCAAATAGTTCACTCACCCATAATCTTGCCCGTTTCGAGGACAAAGCGCGTACCGGGCGACCCTTTGCCCAAAAGCCCCCTGTGTCCTCTCTAAGAGGGGTTTCGATAGCCCCAAATCACCACTGCAACCTGGGAAACAATCGTCCCTCCCAATGGTGACTGTTCAACGGTTCTATAACCATGCTCGCTGGCCAGACATAGACCCCCTCCAAAAAGCTAGCTGTTCTGATTGAGAGGAAAAATGATGGCAACCCAAAAGGTGGCAAAAGGGCAAGAAGGTGAATTAAGTCTGGCAATGTTCCTTGGGGCCCCAAACCACCGCCGATAAGCGACGAAGGGATGCACCCTCTCTACACTGACTCCTGTGCGCATCCTTCCTTGAGATCCCGGTGGTTGGGTGGAAATCATAGATCCTGACCCAGATGTCTTCCCGGATGCCGCGCGAACCCGCCTCTTCTTCAGGTGCTTCACAATCTTCCCGCTCACGGGGTCGATGAAGCCGTGGGCATCTATGGTGCATCCACACCTCAATCGAACCCGCTTCTATCTGGGGCATCCAGGGGGAAACCACCAAAGAAAAGAAACGTTGGTTGCCTACGTACTGTAGTGGAAACTGGAAGCACTGGGGAACCCTGGGAGTGTCAAAGCATCTTGCCGAAACCATGCGGGTTGTTTTTGTGTCAGACCTGGAAACCTTTCCAAGAAGGGGAACCAAAAGGGAACAAAACACACACTGGGACGAAGTACCCGTTGATACTGGCTGGAGCCTGTCCGAGGTCGGAAGCCGCTATCTAGCCGCTAGCGCCCAGAGTCCAGCCCAGCGCTGATATGTTAAACATGTTCCACGGATTATCCCCAAACAGCCCAAAAGGAGCGGAGGCTGGGCTCGGCACGTGTAGCTGTCTGTGAGTATGGCCAGGCACCTCGCTGGATGGCCAAGAAGCTCAAGTATCCCCAAGACCCCGAAACAACTCTCTGGAACGCAGCTGCTCCAGATCACTCCGGAGATTATGTTGGGGAGCAACATGTTTACCCAACAACTAAACCGTAAAAACCCAAACAAAGGAGCAGCCAAAAAAGGAAACCAGCTCGTTCTAGGCATAAGTGTCCATTTTAATTCGGTTTGAAAAAATTAGGTGGCTTCTGCTGGCAAATGAGCAGAACCGGGCTCGTTTTACCCACCGCCCTTGTGGTTTGCCGGCACCCCCTTGTCCACCCTTGTCCTGCTCGTGTCCAGGTGACTCGACTTCTTGCAGCACGTGGTTCAAGTATGGCACCCTGTACTAGTCAAGTAGCAGAACTCGTGCAGCCATACCTGACACCTGGTGACCTGCACGTGGGGCCGTGGTACCACAAGGGCGTGGGTAGCAGGTCTAGGGTTTTTTTGGGTTTAGGTCTAGGGTTTTTAGGCCAGGGTTTTTAGGGTTTAGGTTTGAGGTTTTTAGGGTTTAGGTTTAGGGCATGGTTTAGGGTTTTAAGGTTTAGGTTTAGGGTTTTAGGGTTTTAGGGTTTAGGTTTTGGGTTTAGGTTTCTGGTTTTGAGGGTTTAGGTTCAGGGTGTTGAGGGTTTAGGTTTAGGGTTTTAAGGGCTTTTAGAGTTTAGGTTTAGGGTTTTTAGGGTTTGGGTTTAGGGTTTAGGTTTAGGCTTTTTAGGGTTTAGGTTTAGGGTTTGTAGGGTTTGGCTTCAGAGGGTTTAGGTTTAGGGTTTTTAGGGGGTTTTAGGGTTTAGGTTGAGGGTCTTTATCTCGCCCTCTGCAGGCTAGCTGCTTCCTTGGCGGAGGAGGATTGTGAGTTCTGGCAGTCAGCACAGGCTCGCAAGGAGGTCTGGGACTTCTGGCTGGCGCTCCGGGCGCGGAGGCAAGCATAGGCGAGTGAACCGAGCTCGCTTCAAGATCCCGGCAGAGCCGTGATGGTTCGTGTCAGTGACAAAGCGAAGCTGACTGCTAGCACTTCAAAGCGTCCGCAGGTTGCTGTGTACGGCAAGAAGCTCGTGCTGAACTCCAAGTTCAAAAAAGAAGGGGATCGCCTACGGGTGTTCAATCACACCTTGCGCCGCTTGGAGCAGCCGTCCTACCAGGAGATCATGTTGCTCGCGCAGGCCAAGGCGAAAGCATTCCTCAAGCAGCATGGCGTGCTAGCTGACAACAACCAGACCTATTCTGCTGGTCCCGCGGGGAGCAGCTGCACATGAAGAAGGGTGTGGGCAGATGCCACCGATTGCACGATGCTACGCTTACATGCTGGGCTGCAAGATTCCAGCAGATGCTGGGGTTCACCTGGTGAGGCGGCCGGATGAGACACCAAGAGCTGCTGAGCATAGGCTTTACAGGTACACTCAGGGGATGAAGGTTGCCCTTGCCAACGATCAGCTTGTGTACAGCAGAGACTTGGTGTTCAAGAACGAGATTGTTGAGCCGGAATCTGGTCGCATGGGCAGTAAGAAGACAAGCACGGAGGACGCCACCAAGAAGGAGCATCAGGGCAGGACTTTGATGCTGAAAGGGAAGTGCGGCAGCTTCGCACTCAGGACCAGCATATCGCGCAAAGGGCGTGGCATGGGCACAGAGCGGAAGGAGGAGGTGGCTCCGGCTCTTCAGCGTGGCATTGGACGCGCCTGGCCGCGGATGGGGTCAGGGCTTGGAAGTCAGTAGGTGACGCCATGAACACTATTACATTGCCGGGTGTCAACCACATGAAGAAGATCTTCACGCGGCTGAGCAGACTGCGCAAGAAGACTATGCCACCTACTGCCGCCCGCACCTTGCCCCGCGCTAGCAGCACGAAGGTTCCGACTGCTCAGGAAGGGAAGCGGCACTTCTTGACAACGCTGCGGAGTCTTGCCTGGGCCACATCAAGCAGACGATGAGACGCCTTGGCTTCACGGGCCGAGGAAATCCGACCAAGAAAGAGACTAAGTCCATGCAAGCCCTCGCGGCCTCTGCGTTGCTGCGGTTTTGGAATCCCTCAAGCACTACCGGCTCGCTTTGTCCGAAGGGCGCATTGAGCAGCAGCCGTGTCTAGCGTTCGATGAGCCGAGCTGCGCTTGGCTTTACGAGGCGTGACTAATTAACAGCAGTGGCAGCGCAGACAACATGCTTCAGGCGGGTCCGAGCTTCGTGATCTTCTGGTTTCGGCGTCGGGGCTGGTTCGGGGCGCAGGCAAACCTCAGGGGCTGGCTGTAGTTTTAGGGCACCCCCTTTATTCCGAAGTGTGGCGAACAACACTGGTCTCTTTGGGTTGCTGTTTGAGCAATTTGAGGGGCCGACAATACCCATAGTCGCCACTCTTAAGCTGCTCCTTTTCGGAGCAAGCCTCCGAGCTCCGCTTCCCTCAAGCAGACCGGGGGACCCTAGAAACCGCTAGCCTCTTCGAGGTCTCCAAACACCTGGAAACCTAGCCTCTGCTTCTTTGACCATGACAAGGTTCCAACTTGACGTCATCCCAAGCGAGACACACTTTCGCATTTGGCCTTTCCAAAAAGTGTCATGCGAGTTCTAAGGAAAATAGAAAGGGAATCCTACTTGGGTAGGGGCCCGGTAGGGGCTGACATTTACAATGGCCAGCAGCTGGCTGGTTTTGAAGAACCCCCGTCAAGTCGAGTAGGAGGACCCCCAAACGGTGATCTTTGAATCACACCAAAGTTCGCAAAGGGAAAGCCGAATCTAGTCGGACCCTTGCCAACCGCGCGAAACCACTCGAAGCCATCTCGGCTCCGGGCTTGAAGCAGAACCGCGTGCTGCAGTTCCGGCAGCCTATCAGACGCGCTTCGACTCGGGACTCCGAGCTCGGAACGGCGCCGTTCCAGGGGAGCGGGGTGCTGGCCACGGACTAAGCGTCCCAGTTTGCAAGTACCCTAAGTGCATTGCATGGGTACATCCGGGGAGCAAATCGAGGAGCAAATCGAGCAGGATTATACTTAACCACCTAAGCGGACCGGTCATCCAAGTAGTATATACATAAAGTGCGTGCTAATCTGTTGTCTTCTCTGAAGTGAGAGACCTCTTGGGGTCTCCAATTCCACGACGCCTGCACATTTAACCAGAGGAAGCATGTCTTCCAGATTCCAGGTTCCCTTTCAGGTTCAATGTGAGTGGACCGAGGGGTACGTATCCCCCTTCATTCTCATAAATCTCGAAACGGGAGCCCGGGCTCATCTTGTGGCACTCGGAGTACTGCGTGCGCTGGCGGTCCAGGTTCTGCTTTGTGACCTCGGGTTTTGTTGTGTCTCGGGAGCCCTGCCTGTTTTCCCGGACCTTCAGTGGCCAAATCCTGGATCTCCCCCTACGTCACCGCACCGCGAGGAAAAGAAATCCAACTTGTTGCCCAACAGTTGGTGTCTAACACTGGCAGATGCAAGAACAAGAACATTGATCCCAAGCAATCCAAACGGGTAACGGCTCGCCGATTCACGTTTGTATGGGTCCATTCTTGACACGCCCCGGAATTCAGACTCCCATGTTTGCTTGTTTTCCCATGGTCCAAAAAGAGGCACTTTGGTTTCTACTTTGGGTAGGGTACAAACTTGATGGTCTTTCCTTTGGTTTCTCCATGGCCTGCGAGTTTGCCACCCTCCTTCCCCAACCACGGCCTCTGAGGCCCTGTCTGCCATGCGACACCTGGGGCACTGCTTGGTGCCCGTCTCCTCCATCCATTGCTCGAAGAGCTGGTCTGCCTCGATCCAAAGGGCAGTGAAGGCAACCCAGGAATACACCCTGGTTGGAACAAACCTGGGCTAGATTCATGGGGTGTAAGGCAAAGCTTCTTGCGCCGGCCTGGCGCTCCTTCTTGGCCGCCTTGGTGTTGTTCTTCATCTTCTCTGCATATTCCTGCAAATAAGGTTGAGGGTGCTCAGCCACGCGGCCGTTGACGTATTCAGAATTGCGGGGGTTATGGAGGGGCAAATGTCCATGAAACTCAAGGCTTTATTGCGGGAAACCACTCACTAAGGGATCCAAAATGTCAAAACAATTCAGCCCTCGCGCCTGACTTGCCAGCACCCACAAGAAAGCTATGCGAGAAATGAGACGGCCTTGTCGGGTTAGGCTGAAGAGGGTTCCTCGACTTTCAGGAGGGTTCTCCGTTCTTCCCAAACAGAGTGTTCAAAAAATTGGGGTGTGCCATCCTTCCAATCATGGAAGTGGATGACTTTGGAAGGCTGCCATAATTACTCCCGCTTAAACAGGAGCTGCTTGCGATAATCTACGTGCGAAGTGGGTTGGGGTTTTGGGGCCTTTGGGGTCCCGGGCTGCTTGTTAGGCAGTTTGGTTTGGTTCAAAAAGGAGTCCGTCTGGGACACCGACCAATACCAAAAGCGAACCAAAAGCGAGCTGGCGAGGGAAGCCGCGAGCGTTGTCCGAGCTGAGAACCGAAGCGAAGCTCCTCGCAGCTTAGACCCCGGTGGAAGGGCTGGCGCCCACATCTGAGGCCTGGCCAACTACAAGCGACGCGAAAAAAGGCGCACACAAGTCCCGCTCCGCGGCTTTTCCCGCGCGGAGTTGGCAAAAGCTCAAGTTGGACATGGCCTATGCCATGCACTTCTGAATTGTTCAGGCTCTCCAGTTTATTATTCTTGATAGGCTACGCCAAGCAACTTGTATGCCTCGCAGCTGCGAATGCGCCCTTGGGACTCCTGGCTCTCTCTATTGCATCTAATTGCGCATGCACTCAATTGCACCTACTTGAATCGCAACACAAGTTGTTGCCACGCGATATTGCAGGGAATTCGGTGTGGCTTCCTTCTTGTCGCAACAGGCCACCAATTTGCTTTGTGTGTGTGTGTGTCAATCCTGGGCCAAAGCCGCAAACTCTTCGTTTAGCTGGATCTCACCCTTGTAGTAGTTGTTTGTAGCTGAAAAATACCCTCTTTCCGTGAACTCGTCATCTAGGCCTGGCTCTCCTCAATGTGCTTCTGATAATTGGGGATCCCTCCAGGCGGATAGTTTTGTTTTGCTTTTCTATTAAAAGCATTGTGTGTGTGGGGTGACAAAAAGAAACACAAACACTGAAGTCTGGAGATCCACACCATGCCGGGCACCTTTGGAGCTCTGGGGTTGCAGTTGGGTGAAAAAAGAAGGCACGATTCTCCCATTTGGGTTCCAACACCTCCCTTTACCCACATCTACCGGGAATTGCGCCACAAAGAGCAACGGCGCCGGGCTCGCAGGACTCCTTCTTGCACATAGTGCACTTGAACCTGAGTCAGCGATTTGCTCGAGCCCGGCTCCCTCACATACTCTTGACGAAATGAAACATTCGAAGAGTCCGGTTGCCTCCCCGCCCCCTTTCCCCGCTGGCTGACTTGGCGAGGCCCACTTGGCCCCATTTGAGCCACCCTCCAAACAAAATGATAACAGGTACAGCAGGGCCTTTTGCTCCAAAGGACCTGGTTGCACTACAGGTGAGCACCTCTCGGCACCTTGGCCAAAAATGTTGCCAAAGAGGGCAGACCCGGAAGGCTCAAGTGATTTGCTTTGGACTGAACTTCATGAGTTGGCCCACTGAAAGGCTTTTGGGTCCGGGCGGCAAAGCGGAAACTATTGCAATTCGCAAACTGGAAAATTGCTAGCATGATTCACACACTCTTGACAAGGCCATTCGTACACTTCCATGATTCCTGAGAAAGGGTGTAGAATTGTCCAACTAGATTGAGAAATCCCCAAGTAAGGCACCTTCATCATGGGCCCGAGCTCGGTTGACGCAACCAAAAGATGTTTGTCTCCTTTTGGAGAGAAGGGGAAAAGTCAGGGTAATATGCCCACCTTTAGAGCAGACATGGAAGTGCGCGAACCCCGTTGGCTGGGAGGTCTTTGCACGAAACTGGTAGTTGGCCTGGCCAAGAAAGCTGGCACTTGTTCCAACCTTTGCCGGTGGTCCTTTTAGCCTGGTGGAAGAGGGACGGCACTGGTTTCAGGTTGGCCTTCATAGCGCCAAATACTTTTCCATCATGGCTCTTGGGAAGGGGCCGATTATCCGTCATGTAGTGGTGCCAATCTGGTCTGTCTTTCCCTTGCTTACTCTGAAAACGGCAAATCGAAATGAATACTCACCGCTGCACATGTCAGGTTGTCCAAATTTGGGGTTCCTCTCTCTCCCCTTTACAGTCCAGCCAAACTAGCAAACGATGTCGCCAACGCCTCATCCCCGCCTCGTGATGTCGCCCTCCTCAATGGCCACGCGCATGGGGCAATTCCTGTGGCGCACGTTGATGGAAAGCTTAACGCCGTGGGGAAAGATCTATTTGAAGGGGACTCCTCTGAGTATAGCCCGTTTTGATCTGAAGTTGCCCCGCTGGTACGGATATGTGTCAAGACACGAGAGTATCCAACAAAATTCGTTCAGCGTTCCTTGTCACTTCCCTTTGAACCTAGCTGAAACGTGTACCCTCAAATCCCCGAGCCCCGAGCCCCGAGCCCCGGGCGGTGTCGGACAGGCGCGGATGTCTGCGGCGCAAGAGACTGCCTGCTCCAGGCTCCGCGCCTGCAACCCGCGTGGAGGCAGTGAACACGCATAGCGACCCACCATGGCGGTTTTGGTAAGATGTCATGTAGCTGGTTAGCGGGAAACTCCCGGTTCAGCGGAACTGAAAAACGGGAATCCTTAGGTAGTACTACATATCAGTTCCCATTCCCGCTCGCCGGGTGATCTTCAAAAACCAAACGTTCGCGCAAGCAGCGGCACACACATGTCCCCCCAGCTCCTGGGATTCCTTTCAAAATCCGTGTCCGGTTTTTCCCGAGGAGTTTTCGGGTATCCTCGGCCCCGTCTTAGCTTGGCCCCCTGACCAGCAGCCGGTCGATGGTCTCCGCCGGGAGGAGTTTCCTGACGGAACGCAGCGCCCCTTTCCAGGACCCCACCCCCCCCTCTGAGTTGACTGGCCAAGCAGAGCTCATTCTTGTTGCAACCACCAAAACGTTTGAGGCTTGTCAACGAATAAGCCCTTGTAGAGAATCCCGAGCGAAACCGGGCCTCATGTCCGGGTTCACGAAGCAATTTCGAGACAAACCCACGTTCCCTTTGCGAGTCAACGTACATTAAGATGGTCATCACTTCCACTTCCAGAAAAAGCAAAGCTGATCGTTTGCTTGCTTTGAATTGCCCTTCCAAAATTCCCGAAGAGGGTATCCTCGACAAAAGACCTCATATGGTTCTGGAACCAGGCCTTTTGTATGTCAGAATCAAAGCAGTGCGGCGCATCGTTTTTTATTTTCGCAGGAAGCCATGTCCCTGCTCGAATTGGGTGTGTTGTCAAAGAGAAATTGGACCCCAGAAAGATAGATTTTTAGTCCCTTCTGCGTCCACTGCCAAACGACGAATCCACTGAATATGTGCCTGCCAATTTCCGCTTCAAAAACAGCATGACAATTGTTCTTTGTATGTGTTGCTTTAACTGGCCGATTGGGAAAGTGTGATAAGTCCTGAGGCATGGAGTTGCAGAGTTGGGAGGGGGCAATTATCACCAGTCCGCCTGCGGTTTCCTTTGCAAAGATGTCACACCCATTGCAGGGTGTCCCTGTTGTTCCCTAGCAAGGGGGAAGGTAAACACTCAAAGCCCATCCACCTGCAAGCGGCAGGAACTGACCCCGTCCTAAGATCGCACTCGGCCAGAATCGATGAGCACTCAGGGCCTAAGTCCCAAGTTCAAAGCACCATCCGAGGCTGACATCCATCTGGGTATGCGGGTGGTTGTAACAAAATAACTTCCCAACACCCGGTGTACTAGCAAAAAGTGTGCTTCTCCCTGCCTGCCAACAATGGACAGAGCCAAAGAGAGCCAGGAAAACACAAACGATGCATGACCAAATTACGATGCATACAGTATGTTGCTTGAGCTCCATCGTGAAAATAGTCATAACCAAACAAATAGACTTTTGTGCATCTGTTTATACGTGGGACCTGACATCGAACATAGTTGTCATTGATGCAACATGTTCTACATATTTACATTGTATGTTCTTATACCCCTATATATATATATGTATATATACCTATATATATATATATATATGGTCCCGTGTTCCGTGTTGCTACCCCCCCCCCATATGGTATGGTCCCCCAGGACCCCCTCCCCGGCCCGAGACCCCGAGCCCCCGGATCCTAGCACCTACGGTCCCACCCCCACCCCGACCCCCTGAACTCGCACCCCGACACCCCGGCACCCCCACCCCCAGGACAAGCCAACCCGCAACCAACCATAAACCAACCCTAAACTAACCCTAAACCAACCCTAAACTAACCCCAAATACACCCTAAACCAATCCCGAAACAATATACCCTAAACCTAAACCAACCCTAAACCAACCCTAAACCAACCCTAAACCAACCCTAAACCAACCCTAAACCAACCCTAAATACACCCTAAACCAAACCCTAAACCGTAGACCTCTAAACCTAAACCAACCCGAAACCAACCCTAAATCAACATAAATCAACCTAAATCAACCCTGAACCAACCCTAAACTAACCCTAAATACACCCTAAATATACCCTAAACCAATTCTAACCAACCCTAAACCACCACAACCCAACCACAGGACCACAACCACAAGGGGGGGGGGGGAGTACTTGTCTGACCCATGACCATTGGGGGGGGAGGGGGGGGGGGGGGGGGCTGGCAACGCTGCACCATATATATATATATATATATACAAATCCTATCCTATACTCCTGTACTTTTCTGCACCTGTTATGCTCCATGCGTCCTATACGTTCTACTGCATATTGTTCTCAAGGATTGTCATCATATCTAAGTTCTATTGTCTGTATTTCGATTGGGGCCCGCGCAGGTGATTGAAGCTGCCCCCATCTCCAATCGTGCCTGCCAGGGTTGCTGTTTCAACCACCCGTTCGCTGAAAACAGCGTTTGATGCAACTACTAAAATTTGGTGTTTCTGCAAAGAAACAACAAAAGAAAGAAAGAAAGAAAGGAAGAAAGAAAGAAAGAAAGAAAGAAAGAAAGAAGGAAGGAAGGAAGGAAGGAAAGAAAAAAGAAAAGAAAGAAAGAAAGAAATAATGAATGAAGGAAGGAAGGAATGAATAAAGGAAGGAAGGAAGGAAGGAAGGAATGAATGAATGAATGAATGAACGAACGAACGAACGAACGAAGGAATGAATAATGCAAGAAAGTGAGACAGAAAGCCGTAAGGACAGAACACTGATCCTACCTACGCTGAGCTCTGAGAATCTGAGAGCACATATGACAATGTGAAGTGCCCTTGGTCGATCAACTCCATCGCAAGCCGCCCGCCTCTGCATGTCGGAGCATACAAGATGCCTTAGCTCACGTCGATCTGCGCATTCGCTCTTGCGAGTGGTTGTGGGAGCTAGTGCTCCCTTGCTCAAGGGATATGTATAAATCCTTCTAAACTCCCAAAATATAAAAGTCTAAGGGTCTGGTTGGTAGTCGCCAAGCAAAGTGAGCCATCTCTATGACTGTTTTGTCACTTGAAAGCGGATTCCAGCCCTGCAACCCACTTTTACTTTTCAAGTGAAGGCCCACCTCTTGCCCAACGAACGACGATTGGCCTTGAGTCTACTTTGGAAGCCACTGCCAAGTAGCGGTTGTTGCTTGTGACTGCGTAGGCATTTGGGCACAGTAAAGCAGCGACTGCGACAGCTTACGGAGATTGGGAGGCATCAAAAACTATGAATTGTTAGGATCTTCCCATGGAGTTTCCTGCTTCGGCTCTGAATCAGCAGTTGATGCAGTATGCGTACTATGGCTGTTCCAAGGAAAGACAAGCCATTCATGAGGTCCTGGTCGTATTTGCGGACGGATAATTTGTTTCTTTAGGTAATTGACAAGCATGACCTATCCCAACCTAAAAGACAAACGATTGCCCATTGCCAACCCATCGTTTCCTCCTGCCAAAAGCCTGGCAAACTTTATGATTGGTTAAACTGGTTACAGCTCTGCTTCCGTGTCTCAAAACAGTTGGTTTCCTTTGGTTTCCCTTTCAAGCCAACCCCTAAAAAGGTCCCTCTTTAACAACACAAAACAAAACAAAAACAAAAAAAGTCCAGGTTGCAGCTCCTCTGTTGCAAAAAACTCCCCACCCGGCCCTCTGCTGCGGCTCCCGGCACAATACCAGCCGTGGCCACAGGCGAGGCGAACGGAGCGCCAGGCGGAGGTGTCACAGCAGCAGATCTGGCAGAGCAGGCGCTGTTGTCTCAGGGACCCAAAAAAGGCAAAGGGCTAAGGGGGTTGCAAACCGTGAGGGCCGAAATAAAGCAAAATCAGGTGATGAAACATAGGATCCATTTTCCCCCCACCGCCCACCCTACCCGCCTTCCGTGCAAGGAACCCCAAAAGTGGTTCCCCCAACAAGAAGCTCCTCAAAAAAGTGTGATGGCGTTCTGCCCTGAAAAAGCCTCGTCTGCACGATACAGGGTGAGGGGGGTTCGGATCCTATGATGAGAATTGGCGGGAGAAATCCAAACAGTAGCCCCCAAAGGAATCGTTTTCGGATGGGACCTCTTTTTGCGGCTCCAGATTAATGAGGGAAATTCTTGCTTGGTCTCTTTGAAAGGTGGTCAGCAACAACGTCAGGGGCCCCCTCAATGGCTCAGCTGACCACCCCCCCCCATAGTGTCCTTTGACTCGTTGAGCTGCATCGCCCCCAGAAAAATCAAACCACCCACGTTCGGCAAGTGTGCTACAATTTGGGCAGACTCGTCCCAGGGGCAGTCAGGGACCATGAGCAGGTCAAAGGAAAACCACCCATTTGTTTTCGGGGGGTAGCCTGATACAACCACATGCGCCAGGGAAAACAGCGGCTCGTCTTGCAATATGAAGCGGAACTGTAAAGACTACCGAACCTGTCTGACCCTCAGATCAAACCTGGGATTCAACAAGCACTTGGTGAATGTTTACATCGTCTGCCCAAATGACATTGGATTTTGGTGAGTACCCTCCATTTCCTGGCAACGATTTGGGCAACCAATTGACGAAAAAGAATTGCCCGTTGCTCATACCCAAATTTTCAGCGGCTGCACTTCTGCGTGCAATCTATGAATTGGCTGCGCAAAAGCGTCAAGCGCCTTGCACACGTCAGCCTGGCAGTTCAGCATCATCGCTTGCCTGCCCCGGACAGAGACTCGGATCCTCAAATGGGCGGGCCCCTGAAAATTGCTTCGTTTTGGTTTCCTTTTCAACTCAAAGATCCTGAGACGACCAGTCCTGGATCATTCAATCACATGTTCAAGCCAATCCTGCCAACAAAGAGATGTCGCGGGAGTGGTGGAATCCACCAGCGTGAAACTCTGTTTTGGGAAGTGGTTGGCATGTTCTAACAAATGAGTTCTAGGATGCTGATTGTCCTTTGGTCAAAGATGGAAACCGTTTATTAGAGCCCGTTGAAGATCCCAATGTTTTCAAAGGACAACTCTGACAGGGCTTTGGCGGGCCCATTCATTGTTCCAATGTCTAAAGGATCATATTGACAGAGAGAGCCAAACTCGAATGGTCAGCAGCTCAACTGGGCTCCCACAAAGGGGACCAATCCGAAACCACGCCGCTCTATGGCCCAAAGGAAGGGGAGGATCCAGATCGCAAATGGAAGGCCTGCTGTCTCTAGAACCATTGACCGTCCCTCCACGTCCAGAACTCCAGGCGCTTCCGAAACCAACTCGCATCCTGCCTCCGATCTAATTTCCTGCCAAGCGCCGAAATCCCTCCCCGAGTTCCATCTTTAAAGGGTCTGAGCGTTGATTGAGTTTCATACATGTGGCCCCCTGGGCCCGCTGGGCCCCCTGGCGCACAGCGGCCAGGGCTTCGGCCATCCACCTGGCAGGGGCTGTGGCTTGGGGAGGACGAAAAATGTGGAGCCCACACGAATGTCCCATTTTAAAAAGAAACTTTTCCCACGTCCATTTGGAGTCAAGTACGGGCGCATGTGTTACCAGTTCCTGGCGTTAAGATTGGGTGTGAATGTTGAAAACCCTTTGGTGGGCATCAAGTGTCCATCAAGATTACATCAAGTTGATGCGCACAAACCATTTCAGAGGCTGTTCCATCGATTAGGAATCATAGCCAAACCTCCTTCAGAAAATGAAACCTGGGTGTCCCTTGGAAAATATACAGACAGCACTGACATATATTTAGAGACGGCACTGACATATATCTAGAGCCAAGCTGCTAACAGTGCCATTGATCTTTAACCAAAACTGATCAAAAGCACACCCTTGACATGAAAGTCATCCAACAGCACCGGGAGGGAGAACCGCCTTGATCTTCCCAAAGAAGACATCCCCGGGCAAAAGCAACATGCCTAAAACAGGAATCAAAAAAGCATCCCAAAAACAAGTCGTCAACACAAAATTAGTTGAACCCCTTCTGCTGGTCTAATCAATTCATGCAAGAAATCAGTTGTATGCCAATTGGTCAATTGGTCATTTGGTTTGGTGCTTTGGAGGCTTTTTATGTATTCTACATAAGAACATGTTTTCCAAATAACCACTCCAAACCACCCAAGTAGACTCCTGCAAACCCACGTCGAAACCGGCATACTTTTGGTTCGCCCTGGTCTTGTGCTCCGCGTTATTTTGCAAAAGGATAAGGCTTATTATACCTGGAACCCTCCGCACGGACATAGGGTTCAAATACCCAACCACCAATCCAAAGCACCCATTTAGGGTTACCTGAACCCTGATCAAAACCGCAAATCCGAACCACAATCATCAATCCCCCTGTTGAATTTTTCCAGCCATGCCCCCAAAACGTCCCTGGGACAGGAAATACCAAAGGGCACCAACAACAATTTTCGGACCCCTATCGAATACTAGACAAACCGCCCTGAGCGAAATGAAAGCCATCCCACGAGGAAAGCTGGGGAGTACGGGTTGCCTGAGTAAGCTCCAAACCACCCTGGGTCACCAAAAACCCAGCCCTGTTCCTACGAAGAAAGAAAGCCGCAGGCCGGCGAGGCGGACGACCGCGAGGGGGTGGGCAAGACCCCCATAGCCGAAGCACCCTCCTGCGCGATAACGACGTTCCCCCAAGGAAAGAACAAAGGAGAACCAACCCCAGGTTTACTTGGATGTTCAACCTACTTGGTGGGTTATGACTGTTACAAATAGTTATAGTTAATAACACGACTTGACTGTTCAACCTAATTGGGTTATAAGCATCGTGAGTAGTTATAAGTAGAGCCTCTTACTTAGGGTATAGCTGTTGCCATTGGTTGTAAGTTATCTGGAATGTTCAACCTACTTAAGTCGCATATAACTGCTACAACGATTTGTAGGTACGGTTGCAGGTAGGATCGTTGCTCAAGGGTGCGCCTTCAAAAGACAAGGAAACCAAAGAGCGGGATCTGGCATTGAGCCCCAAAAACAAACAAAAACCTGCGAAGGAACCCATCTAGCGTAAGAAGGCTGGGCGGTGGTACACCCCAACAACGCTACGAGTAGAGTGTATCTGTATCCCACCCCCCGCGTTGGGGCATTCCCTAACTATAGCCCGAGGAAACCTGACAAAGGACAAAGTGGCTACCAACCGAGAGCCAGTTGCAAGGATTGTCAGCACAGTGCAGTCCTGATTTGGTCCGCTTCCAGGGGTATGCTCCAGCAGGAAATCACTCAACAGCCACTACTCACGCGGCTACTCGTTCTCTGCGTGCCGTGGCAAAAAGTGAAAACAAGGCCCTTCTTCAGCAAGAGCAACTGTCAATGGATCATCTGTTGTGGAAAGACTCACTCAAGCACCCAAACCGAGTTTGAGAGTTCGTGTGGCCATAATATAATGTGGAGTCCAAGAACACTTCCAGACCGCAACGTCTGCCTCTGCCTCCCGCTCCTTCACTTTCTTGACGCTCCCCTGGCGTCCAACGAATAAAGAAAAAATGAAGCCTTCTCTTTTCAGCCCCTCATCTTTTTCTTTGACAAGTAGGATGGGTGGTAGAACAGGGCAAGGACAAACAAGCAGAACAGGCTTTGGTTTTGTTGCTTCCCCAAAGCCTTGCATGTTTCTGACCTCCACTGACCATTAGCAACAAAGGCTCCTTTTTTGGTACTTAACTTCAACCTTCTGCAAAGAATGGCACCACTGGAGAACCCTGGAACATGGTTTGTATTGCAGTTTATCCTGCTCGGCTTTAAACGGAGTTGGAAAGCATTCGTTTGGTACTTTTGGGGTCATGATTGACAATGTAGTGAAAATTAGGTAAGCATTCAGTTTCAGTTCTGGTTCACAAAACTGCTCGTACCACCCCCCAAACATTCTTCCAGGTCTGGTCAATTTGGGTTCCGCAAGGAGTGTGGAGTCTCCAAATAAGTGGTGTGGATTGTTGTTTGCCGTACTGAATATATCTGCCAAGGTCCAAATGCAAGCCCATGTTGACTTTGTCTAGTATGACAAGACCATTGCTGAGCTTCGCAACATTACATCAAATTTGGATGCAACTTCGCGCTGGCGGGTGTTTCTTGTGAGACTAATGTTGGCATTCAAATAATTTCATATTGTGAATCATTGCTGGATCCCTGCGGAGGGCTTCGAATGAAAGCCCGAACTATTTTAGTGTGCAGTAGTGTGAACCAATTCCGCATCGAATTTGGTTTGGCATTGCTGTGCCCAAAGTCTCTGCCTCCATGTCCCTCTTCCGCGGAGTGCGATTCGTCGGCCTGGCAACAGTATTTGTGCGGATCAAAGCGGGGGAGCACAGTGACCTGGGCCACGTCAAAATGAGTACCAACTTGGAGATGGCTTCTAACTGAAAAGCAAAAGGAAACTAAGCAGCGACATCTAGTTCAGTGAAACTTGGTGTGTCTTGAAATCTAGTGGCTCGTTGACTCCTTGCTCAGAATGAAGCTTTCTGTGAGATATGTAATGAATCCCTTCAAGCTGTCAAGTTGTAAAAGCCTGCAACTGGTTGAATTTCCTTTTTTGGCTTCCGTTTGGGTGCATTCCGGCTGCAGTTGCAAGCCCAGTAATATTTTTGCAACAATGGAAGGGGACAGGTTTGGCCAAGATTTCCTGTTTCGTCCATGGTCCGTTTGGGCGGAATGAGAAGGGGGACTCACTAAATGTCAACCACAACGACGAGGGACTCAGAGACTTTCCCATGCCCTTGGGGGAACAAGTCATTTTGAGGGCCCAGGGAGACTCTCCAAAAGGACATCAGTCCGGCAACTTCCAGTCAGCTTGCATGATTGTTGGAGGGAGGTTACCATTCAATTCAAAAGGGAAGGGGTCTCAGTTGTTTCCATTTGTTTTTGCCCGCGGTTGGTTGTAAACATCAAAGGCACCTAGCTTTGACACTTGCACCCCTCAAATCTCATCCAAAGACAGCTCGCTTCGAAACGGTGATCCGGTGCTAAACCCTCCTGAACGCCACCTAAACAAATAAACACTGGGGATCGCCAACCAAAAACAAAGCAGGATCTTTTTCTCTGGCTCCCACGCGCGTCTTCCCTTGCTCTGCTCACCGGCCTCACGTGGCCAAGGTACTCGGCCACTTCTGGGCACTGAGGCCTCGGCTGATCCGCATCAGCAGACCGCACTTCGCACCAGTCGAAATGGGTGAAACTCTATGAACACTTCTGTCCATCGACAATGTGAATGCCTGACAGTATATGATTGCAGAAAAACAATAGGGGAGCACCGAAACCGATACCATCAACCTGCAACACCCATACAGACCGAACCAAAACTGCAAACAGTCCGACGCACTATGAATACAATCTGTTGCTCATGTCTACAGTTCGAAAAAATAGAACTATCGTTACAGGGGAACAACCCTTTACGCAATCACAGCCCTTCAAGTTACAGCATAAGATTCAACCCCTCCCCCCCCACTCCCTCCCCTCTCCCCCACCTCCACCTAGTTCCCCAAAATCAGATCCTAAGTTACGACCGCAAGCAAAGGCCTTACTAGGTTGAGGAAGAGGTTGAATACTGTGAATACTGTGTCCCCTTATGACATGGGATTTAGTGAGTGCCCCCATGCCCAGGCGTCTGCTCAGAAGCCGCTGCACTTGGTTGCCATTCTTAAGAGAAGAATCGCTGAACAGAGTAAACCAGGTGCGGCTAATAATATTTGGTCTCCCTATGACAACACCAAAATGCGATGCAGACACGGCACATGGGCCAGGCCGAGTCCGTGGGGTGAACATCTCACTGCTGGTGTCCACTTCGGATTCATCCAGGGGAACCCCTGAAATAGATCATTTTCCGGAATGGGTGGTGAGACACCCTGGTAATCAATGCGCAAGATAGCTTAAGCACTTTAAAAGAACCCTGAAAAAGTTGAAAAACCTTGGATTTGTGAGGTTTCTCCCCTGCAAATGAACATGGAATCCCAAAAACATGGCTGATAGAGGACTGAGGAATCTTCTTTTGGGGGAACTCTTTTGCTTTCTGAGTTTCATAATAATTCCGCAGAGTAAAGCCAAACCCGAGCCAAAGCCATTTAGAACGTCAGGGCTCGATCTGGGCTTCCCGGCTGGAGGATGCTCAAGGATGCCTCCAGCCTGGAAAAGGCTCCCACGTTCCATTGGATGAGACACAATCGTACCATCCGTTTCAAACTCAAAAGGGTATAGGAAAATACGCGTCCTCCCTTGATGTGTGCGAGAAATTTCGTGAGGCCTCTTGTTCTTGTGGGAGATTCATTGAGTCCCCCACATTCCTCCCAAAATGACCATGGACTGCTTGATATGCTGCCCTTCAAAAGGCAGCGCCCCTTTAAAAAAAGAAAGACACACCCGTTTCCCATTCTTGGACCTTGCCTCAGGTTCTGGTAGATCTTTGGCCACCGGGCTGCCGCCTGCGTGTTTCGAGCTTATCAACTGCCAACGGGTGCTGCATCCAGGCTGGTCACACAGTACTCCAGCCCCCATAGGGATCCTTCACGCCATCCTGCTCTCAGCACCTCAACGGACAGGATGCTCAAGATGTGCCAGCAACACAGAATCCAGTGGGTGAGTCAAAACCATGCTCATTCGCAGCGAACCCGCACTGAAGCAACCATGAGTTGTCCATCACCATCAGAGCTGCATCCCTCCTAGGAAAAAGCCCACAGGCATTGACAGTGCTCCAAATCCGTTTAAAAAAAAAAAACACAAACTCCTGGCTATGTACTTCAAGTGTCCACCCGAGCCAGCCACCCCCGCCAAACCGATTTCGCCTCCCGCCACCACTTTATGCCGTCCAGGTTCGGCTCAATGACGCGTGCCCGAGCGCATGGGGGCGGCGTGCACACCTGCCACAAGCCATAGGGACTTTCGATCCATGAGCCTGGAGTCAGGTTTTGAGGTGTGGGCCAACCAAACCTGCTTTGGTGTCCCTTTGAAGTGGACCAGGGGTTGGTTGTTGAAGCCAACTTTGCCTGTAATCCACGCATCAAGGAAGGACAATGTATGAAACTGTGAATGGCAACCTGGATCCAGCATATAGATCAGCCTCGTGGTTACTTTTCCCGAAGAAGTGACAACCCCCCTTTTAATCAACCAAGGTGTTTTAATCTGGGTTCCAATTGAAAGGCCAGCTGACAAAAGGGCAGTGTCGAACCCATGAACATCAGCCTCATCCGGCTTGAAGCTGGCCTTCCAAATAGTGAAATCTAGACTTACTTGTCTGAGAATATAGGGAAGCCCGCCAGGAAAGATGCCGCAAAGAGAACGAAATGTCCTGGCGCTAGCGAACCTGACATCTTCTGCAAGCGCACCGTGAACATGCTTGTAGCAAATGGTCACCATTCTGTGATACCTAGTGGGCTACCCATCGCCATGACCACTTTGTCACTTTTTTCCAGGTAGTTTAAACCGTATTGCACGCGCGAACACATACACACACAGACACATCACCCTTTCCTGCGCGCTAAGCCAGTATCAAGTGGTGCTCATGTGCACCCAAGTCTTGCCCAGTCGCCAGTCCCCAGTCCCCCCGTGCACATCCCACACCTCTTCAACTTCTGCTTGCCTCCGGCCAAGTTCAGAACAGTTGTCCATGTGAAGCCAAAGGGCAAAATGCTGAAGGCTTTTCGGGGAGCCACAAAGCTAAGTTGGGTGTTGCCTTCGGGTGTGTAGCTTTCTGGGATGAACTGTTAAGCTTTTGGCCCGCAGCTTTCGGCTTGGTCTTGCGTGAATGAGGCACATCTTGCTGCCCACTCCAACTGTAGGATTTCGTGGTGCCTGCAACCAATCCCTGGTCAGGGACCACGTTGAAACTTGAAGCACTGCTCGCATTTTGCACAGCGCTTGCGCAAGGAGTCGCTTGCCAACTCACTTGGGCCCCAGCACATTGAGGTTCACCACCTCTACCGGCGTAGACGCGGCCACGGAATCGCCTGCGAGGAATGTACAGCCCATTGTTTTCAACCATCTTTCCTTTTCGGAAATCTGGCGTTTTCCCTGGTGTGGTCAAGAGACAACAAGGACACTTCTGAAAAAGGGAACAAGAAGAAATGTTTCCTTTGGCTTCCCTTCAAACACGAAGGGAGATTGCAGGATTGAAGCAGCCCTCCAGTACGGCCATCCAATCCAAATGTTGACGGAATGGTACCCTTTTCCCGCCCCACCTCCTTGGCCCCTTGCATTGGCGTCACAAAATGTCACAAAAGGGCCAACCTACGTGTACCCAAATGGGTGTTTGTCGAAACAGGGGGGACCCAAAAAGTTACGATGTTCCTTTTGGTTGCCTTTAGTGATTCTTGTCCCATGATTATTACCCCCCTAAAAGGAGAAAGGGGGAGGAGGAAATACTGTAACTTTGTTCCAGGTGGCCGAATTCCATACTCGAAACCGATACGAAGCAGTACTGGACGAGCACAAAGCAACATCAAAGCAATGACACACACTTCCAAGTCAGGACTAAGCAGTACTTGCTGAGACCACTGAGACCACCTGAGTAGGCCCAACTCTGGCCCCCAACCTTTTTAGTGCTTTCCCTATTGACCCCAATTCGTTTGTGGGGGGGGGGGGATGGTGAGCGAGCCCCTTTGCTACTCCCTTTACCGGCGACACCCTCCCAGTGGTCTCAGACGTTCCTGCGAAACCACCCCGAGTTCCCCAAAAACACTTCCCAAAATGGCCCCCGGTCCGAGCGGAAAACCTGCGCCTGCAGACACCGAGTCCGCCATTTCGGAGGGCGTCGGCCTGGGCCCCAAGCGAAAATCGCTGTGCTCCAAGGACGGGACAAGGTACCCAATGCGTCCAGCTACCCGTACGCGGAGGAACCATCATGCAAAACCTGGAGCGACAAATGCTGGTTACCTACGATAGCGGCAACTGAAAGCGCGTAATTATTGGAAAACAAACGGGTAACTGGTTGCCAATGTTCGCCGCAGCTAGTCCCTTGCGAGCAATGGTTCGGGAGAGCATTGAGGCACCGGCGCTGCGGATCCAGTCAGCTCCTGGACTTTGAAAGGGGAGCCACCTAAAACTGTGTGGATGTGTGTGTGTGTGTGTGTGAGGATGCTGTGTTGAGGCCCGGTACCATTTTCCAGTGAAAGAGAAATTATAAGGAAACCCATCATGTTGGCGGTCCCCAGAATCACCACCTGGTATTCGGGAGGCTTTCCAAACGCAAATGAAACGAGACAGAATCACAGGAGAAGAAAGCTTTCCGCATCGATTCTGGTGCTTGGGACGAAGTCACCCAACCTGCATCTATCAGGTTTTGTTGTGGCCAAAAAACATCTCCGTGTCTCTCTGTCTCTTTTCTCTCTGTGTTGGACAATGAGAACTCGCTGGACCCTTGTTGATGGGCCATCATTTCACCCATTCTCAAAGTGAGTCTAGTGTCTGGCAGGGGGAGAGCCAGCCGAGCGCCAGATTTAGTGCATGTCACCTGGAAATCCATCTGATCCCTTACCTCTTCTAGACCGATTTTGGGGTGTGCTTTTTTCGAGGCACCTTTTCAGAAAATCTACAACAGTTGTTTGTGTAGTGGTTCAAGGATCCCGCGTTCCCCCCAACTGCCCCCGCCCTTGATTGGTGGCTTCCTACCGTCTTACCCTCTTTCCAACCATTATGAATTTGGATAACACGAAGACTACCATCACAAAACTGCCAGTCCACTTCCGCGATCGTTGGAAAGCACGGATAGGAAGGTAAGTGTCTAGTTGTGCACGCAAGAATAGATTCCCGCAGATCAACACGTTGTGGCAGAATCAGCAGCCGGTTGCCATTGTAAAAGTCAGTCGCTGGTGGCAAGTGCAAAACATAGCATCGAAATTCTCCCAGCTAATCCATGAAATGGGCGAAATCATGAGCTCGGTGCAGCAAAAAACCTTTCGGAAGACTGCGGTGCTTGCTGGAGAGGGTGCCACTTGCGTGCTGTCTCAGTGGGAGGCAACCCGTTGCTGGTCGAAGGGACAGGAAGGGAAAGCTAAAAGGGCCTAACCCTAACCCAGTTTGCCTCCTTGGTTTCCGGGTCACAAAAGCAAGTTGCGGGTCACAAAACAGAGAGGGCCCCCAACAAAACCTGCGCAAAGTTTGGCATTGCGACAAATCAATGGCTTCATTCATTGAAACTCAGCTGCCCAAATCTGGTCTGAAGAACTGAACACCGAACTCTGAATCGATTAGACATGTCCTTTTGCCCCAGTTGGGAGAAACCAGTGTCAGTCGTTTTGAAACTCCACACCTCCAAGTGCCCATGTTGCTCACTAAGCTATTCACGTGTGGAACCAAAAAAGCATAACTTGCAAATGACTTTTTGTGTGGGAAACCCCGGCCCAAGAGGACAACAGAATCGACTAGGCAAGTTGTTCATCACTGCAAGAGCCTCGCCTCTGGCAGCGCTACTGCCTTGGGAGCCACACAGGAAGTTCAGAAGGTGACGGTTTCCTTTATATATATATATGTATATATATATATATATTTTTTCTATGTATATAGCCTTTTCACATCATCCCAAAAGGGATGGTTTTGGGGGCTCCATGTCAAATTGTAGGGAGTAAAGGGAAATGATGAGCGACCAACTGTTTGCGGGGAGATCAAGAAGTGAGCAGAATCGACTGAACTTTGCTCAAAACTGCTGAAATGCTTCTTGAGCAAATAAGCACGGGCAATGTTTACGCCACAGGACACGGTTGTCCCCCCTGCTTGTTGCTAAAATATTGGCTGTCCCTGCATGTCTTTACCAAACCAACAGAAGACTACCTGACTACCAATAACAATCCCTCGCCAACACTCCCTAGCCCAAAACTTGGAAATCACAAGCTGCAAATAAAGCAAGCTTGCGTTGCCTTTGATGTTCCCACAAGAATTCTGGTGGAGAATTCCTCTCCAAGGAAACCCCTTCTTTACTATCAACATCCTAAGGCCAAACCCTGGCCTTCAGCCAGGCTTCTCTCTCTCTCTCGCTCCCTCCCTCTCTCTCTTTTCACCCCGCAAAACACACAAACAGAAAACAATGAGTTGAAGGCAAAACAAAAAAAACAATGTTTAAAGGGCAGCCCAAGCTTTCAGATTTGAAACACAGCCTTCCAGAGACCGGAATCACAAAACCGCCACAAGTCGGTTGCTTCTTGTCCGAGGCTTCCCGCTGGCGCCGCTGGCGCCGGCTGGGCCTTCTTGCCGTGTGCGCGGCGTCTCGGCCTGCGCAGAGGTCGGGGCCCGAGTTGCAACGCGCAAAACTTGGATGATCCGTGTCTGGTGAATTTGTGAGCTGGAAGATGGAAGGAAGGAAGGAAGGAAGGAAGGAAGGAAGGAAGGAAGGAAGGAAGGAAGGATGGAAGGAAGGAAGGAAGGATGGAAGAATGGATGGATGGATGGATGCATGAATGGATGCATGGATGGATGGGCAAATCCACAATTCTGCAGATCCGGAAAGAAGCTACGAGACGTTCAGCGTATAGTGTTCATATTCTGCGCCCATCGCCAAAGTCTAGTCAACTGTGTTAGCCTCCTGTTGACCCTCTTCATAAGGATTTCTGCAGGTGGTGCATCCAAATAGTTTGCGCTGGCCTCTCTCCTGCTGGCTGCGCAGCTGATGCCTGCGAAACGGAATAGCACAAGTCCTGAAAACACCTTTGTGATCAGAGGGCCCTATGGCAATCTCTCTCAGCCTGTCACACCATCAAAGCTTATATGATATGAGTTATCCCTCGGGATACAAGTGTCAACTGCCAGCAAAAGATGCGTCTATCCTTCCTTGATTGGGTAACTGGCCTCACGACAGCTCATTGTGCATTGCCATTGTGATGCGTCGTGGTGCATCAAAGGCATTCAACTAATGTCCTGCTCTTGACTACTCCGTTCCATCCATTTCCATGTGGCTGCAGCTTGCCAAATGTCTCATCGCGCCTTCGACTTGGGGTTCAGATAGTTGAGCGCCTGCGAGAGTCGGGGCTCAGTCAGCCATGGATGGAACCTTGACGTGTTGTCCCTCCAACAAGATACAAGGCGTAGCAGTCGGTGTGCAATGTGCAGCATCCAAATCGTGGCTGGAGTGTCGCAAGGCTCCAGTGCCCACCATCCTGGGAGATGGAAGCCCGCAAGCGCCCATCAGGTAAGGTGACTAGGGGCGGTAGGCTGATTTTTTGCGGGCACAGCTCGCCCCTGGTTTGTCAGGTCACTCGCCCACCACTACGGATCCACAACTCGTCACTTGGCAAAGAGGTTCCCCCAGAAGCAAAAAAAAACTAAAAGGAACGCAAATGCAATGTTGACTTTCATTCAAGGTACAATTTGGAATGTAACCTGGGGATTCATCAACCTGACAATGGAAACGGACCTCCCAAGGAACGCTGTTGGGAGGAAACCGGTCAGACTCAAGTTTTTCTTGAGGTGTCCGCCGCGCACAGTGAAGTAGCCATGGGCCCACCCAAGGATATCCCCCTACCTTCAGGCGGACGGGGTCGGAGAATGCAAAACTTAACTACAAGTGGAATTCCGGGGTCACCCGCGGAATCTATTTTCGCGGGGTGGGGATCAAAGGATCTACATCCGGAAACGTTGAGAGCAGCTCAGAGAGGCACAGAGATAGTTGAGTCCCTGAACATTGTAAGTCAACCAATCACAATACGCTTAACGTGCCGGATGAAAGTCAACCGTCTCTCAATCGCCGTGTCACCAACTAGATGCGCAAACTACCTCGGCTCTTGGGTACATCCTAAGATTGGGGAACCGTTTTTGTGGAATTGTTCAGGTTGTGGTTTTAAAAGAGATCCTCTTGAGTACAACCAACCAAAATGAGACACCCTCTTGTTCATCAACAAGGGATCCATAGGTCAACTGATTGCCATGCAACTGGGGTTGCATTCATCAATGTGCCACCCTTTTAAAATACGGAATCCCTAAAAAGAACTTCAACCCCTCGTTTCGCCATCGGTAAGCTCACCATAATCAGTGCCAGCTCAGCTGGTGGAGAGACCCTGCTTTCCCCTCTTGTCAACTATGCAAGTGGGCAGGAGGCTTTCGGACAACAAACTACCATCCTCTTGAAAAGGCCTGCAAACGTACAGTTCAGCAATTGTAGGAAACTGGTCGTTTAGCTGTCTGCTTCTCTTTGGGACAACCCAACTTCAAGCGCATGAGAATGCTGGGTCCCGGTAGTGGTGGGTGAAAACACAAGTAAAGGGATGACTAAACCAATATGGGGAGAAAATTGGGCGTTCGACCTTCAGCAAACTCTACCCCACTCACCATTTACCCCTCAATGAAAACCGATGGGAGCAGCGGGTTGGCTGGAAATCTTCTTAGACTTACTGTGACTTACTCTTTTCTTCGTGTCTTGCTTTCTCGGGCGAGATGAGGCCATATGGACTTCCGCCTCGCCTCCTCGAGGCTGGAGCAGGCCTTCAGCGCTTCATCCACCCGGGCCTCGTGAAAGGAGCGTTTCAACTGTTCCAGGTCTCCTCAAATGTAGGATTGGCCATTTAGATTCAAGCAATCTTTCCAGAATGATTCCAAAAACAGAGATTTGGGAAACGCGACAAGCGCCTTCATCAGCGGCGAACCTTCCCTCGATTCTTTCACAGGTGAGCTCGACCCAAGAGAAACCATTGCCACTCGGATACTTGGATGTTCAGCCGGGTTGAATATCCAGGAGTCTGCCTGGGGTATCCCACCCTTATCGGCCGGACAGCAATGAATACATCCCCTGACGAATAGAGGGGGTGCAAGCCCTGCAGCAGCACACCTCTACTGACATCACAGGTTTAGGAATCCGGGGTTCAATAGTACGAGGCAAAAGCGGCCATCCCGTGAGTTGTAGCAAAAGCTTGCATGCATCATCTTCAAGTACGTTTAAGCCACCATTGCTAACATTGCTCTCCTTTGGACTCGCTAACGGGACCTCTCTGGCCGCTGCACTTTCTGCACGTCCAGTCTTTCCTTGGATCCTTCTTTCAAGAAACCAACAAAACCCGGGAAAAACTGGCTGGTTTCCCAAAGCATCCAACCCCGAGAGCCCCTTCCAACCCGCCCCGGTTGCCCGGCCTCGGGATAGCCACGCTCAAAGAGAGCTACGGCGATTTCGACCATACTTGAATCACGGACCATGAGGTCCTGGCGAACTCTATCAACTTCGCCTTTTCCTAAAATTGGTGGCTTGGCTTGGTTTGGTTTGGTTTGCTTTAGCTTACCTTAGTTTTTGGTGTGGTTGGCTGGTTTGGACATTGGGATTTTTAATTCTGGGTCCATAAAGGGACGTCAAGGGTTTGGTTTGGTGGTTTGGAGGTTGGTGGGTGCCATCCCCATGCTTTAAAAACCAATCCAACTGCCACGAACAGTAGCAGCACAAGGACTTTCCAAATGGTGGGTTTTCATTTGCTGCCAATCAAGAAACACACCCTCAAAGGGCTAGTTCTGACACATGCCTGCAAAGTCAAAGGCAGTCACTCGAAACGCAATGCACGTGAGCAACAGACAATGTGCCTACCTTTTGCCCTGCCTGACAGTGCCAAAGAAATGGCACGACTGGATTTGAGCCTAAAAAACTGCGGTGCCGGAAAATCTAAGGGTTATGTCCCCATTGATTGAAATCATCCTTCCAGAAACCACCCAAGATCCCCTAAGCAAAAGAATGGCTTCTGAAATCGAACAATTTAAGACCACCGCCTAGGGGCCTAGAGAAAAGGTCACCACACATTCAGACTGCATACGAGATGCAGTCTCATCTTGAATGGGCACCCTGTCAGCTTCGCTGCAAGTATCAACACATGTGATGTCCCAGCGGCTCCTACCCATGGAGAGCTTCTGGTTTGATCCCATTGAACGCCCATCTCATTTCCAAGATGTGGATCATTCGTGATGAGTTTCGCGATGTGACGAAACGTGGAGAATGTTTGCCTGTGTATGCCTCGCACAAGGTACTTGCTTTTGAACTAAGGCTGGGTTGCTCCGGGCCGCATCGTCCTATCTCCTTGTGCATTGTTTCAGTCATGCTGACGGCCGCCCACAAGTTGGTGTGGCCTCGTTGTGGGTGTTGGTGTTTGGTGCTTTTGGCCACCGGTGTGCAGGCTTCGACATTGACAAGGACTCTTCGCGCCTCGATTGTTGCCCGGCGCCAGTGGGGCGCAAGGGATGCGCATCACCATGTGGGTTTGTTTGCCCTCACCTTCCAAAAACACACCCCACTGTAGGAGACATGGGCCATTGCCGATCAGGAGCCGATTCAGGCTGTGTTCAGCCATTAACCAGGTGTTGCAAGAGATCAGGACAAATGTGCGCGACTTGGCTCCTCTGTTTGCAGAGGGCTTGGGCTTTGGCGTAGTTTCACATGTCGAGTCGTTTCGGCTCCCGGGCATGCAATCAAAGCAAACCACATATCTTGGTTTCCGCAACTAATTTTCATGCACACGCTGAATATTCTTCGTCTGCATATGTTTGCAAGCCAGCCTGGCTGGTCAACAGGCCACTGCCAGTTTGGTACTATCCGTTACAACCGGTTTGTGCAGCCTGCGGTGCCAAAAAACGCGCGTCATGGCTGCGCGTAACTCGGAAGGGAGGCGATGAACTCGATTCTGTGCGGACTACAAGCCCCTTTCTCGCATCGGCCGAAACGCACTCTCGCGGCCTCTCGCTTCTGCCCAAAAAAGTGCCGTAAATCGCCCCCCAAACCCGAAAAAGAATTGGGTTACTATAGCCCCCTATACTACTCTGTCCAACTGCGCAATCATGCCAACGTTTGCAAGCTGTAGTAGTAAGGGCTGATAGTAACCTATTAATGCGTTTTTGGCCCACAAGGAGGCATAATCAGCACATTTTGTGCCAAAGTGTCGCCCTCTCGCGTCAAACTCATTGCCTCCTCTCGGGTTCAGCTGGCTGGAAAAAAAGCACAAAGTGACACATTTCAGCAACTTCTGAGGCTCTTGCCCATTCTGCGAAACTCTCGCTTGAGAGAAGGTCATAGGGGACAACCTGACTTCTCCTCGCAGCCTAGCTTCTCCTCGACGCAGCCTGGAATCGAGCCCGGTGCTACTAAGAGAGGTCTTGCCGCCGAAGTCGCTACGGAGCCTTGTTTCCGCAATAGCGCCGCTCACATGTGGCACCCAGAAAACTTCTGAAACAGGCATCCAGCAGAAGAACTCATCGTTTTTGTGACAAACTCATCGTTTCTGTGACAAACTCATCGTTTCTGTGCACTCATTGTTTCTGTGACAAAATTCATCGTCTCGAAGACGGTTGCACTGATCCGGACTATGATACTCCAACATCCGACTGTCTGGCATCCACCGACCGGAGCAGTAAATTGGACAGAGATTGCCACCACACACCACCGTACAATGGCATGGCAAGAACAGCGAGATTGTCGCCATCCACATCAAGCAGAACAATGAGGAGCGATTGGAACAAAATACACTCAAAATCCTGTTCTCTCCTACATGTCACGAGAGCTAACCTTCCATTTGCCACCATTGGAGTGTTCCATGTACATCCGAACGTCAGCCACGGTGCAAAAAGGTTTACAGGACCTCCGTCGAAAGTGGGAAGGGTTGGCGGTGCAGTCGGCTGAGAGGCTCCAGACTCCCCCTTGTAACCATTCATTCAGAAATTGTCAGAGTCAACGTCGGCCTCATCCACGCTGAGCCGGAACAGGCAACTCTGTAGCGCACAGCCCGCTCCACTTCATCCGAACCAGCGCAGGGCCAAGGATGCAGCTTGAGGCCGAGCGCTTGCACCAGCGACGCCGGACTCTCAAGGAGCAGCTAGAGGGTTAAAGGTCCCGCGCACTGCTCCTAGCCTCAAACCACAAAGAACCCAGAACCCAAAAGCCGACAGCAAGGCGCGCACCTTTTTACCGGGTTGCTTGGGAAGGTGGAACTTTCCTAGGGCACTGCGGTGCACCTAGGACAAGGGGCGAGATGTTCCCCCCCCTTGTGGAAAACAATGTTGCAAGACAAGCGTGTCCTTGCGTTAAAATGCCAAAAGGGGGGCGTGGCATGCGTGCCCACGCCCGCATCAAAGGACCTGCGACGCCAGCAGGGCCAGACCGCGGGTCTGGACCCTGGTATGAAGCTGAGAGTGCGCTCCCAGTTCATGTCCGGAGGGCTCCCAGCTTGGAGGGCTGTCCGGTGGGCCTAAGCAAGCTTAGGGCTTAGAAGGGTCGGGTGGGTGGGTTTCAAACGAAACCAGGACTGCGAGTCCTAAACGTGAGTTCGAGGGCTAGGAGCACCAAATGGCGGCGGCGTAGGAGATTCACCCCAGACCTATAAAACACAAGGGAAAAGAAAACCCTTAGCGTTAAAGGTCCCGCGCACTGCTCCTAGCCTCAAACCACAAAGAACCCAGAACCCAAAAGCCGACAGCAAGGCGCACACCTGTTTACCGGGTTGCTTGGGAAGGTGGCACTTTCCTAGGGCACTGCGGTGCACCTAGGACAAGGGGCGAGATGTTCCCCTCCTTCAGTGCTTCCCAAGGCAACCCCGGTAACAGGCGATTGAGGCCCAGGCGCAAAGTCCCCCTCTTCAGTGCGGGGACCTGAATGCAGCGACTTTCATCAGTCCATTTTCCTGATGCTTGGAGTTTGGGCGCAAACTCGGCCATCGCAGCCAGGTCTTCTGGCTGCGGAAAAGCGCACCCAATGCGAAATGCAGAAAGCGAGCGCGCGCGGCGGTCGAAGGCCACACTGGCTTTCTGAAGCCGGACGGCTAGCAAGCCATGTGTCACACATGCCCGCCAGATGTTCTGGGCGCCATGGTGCCTCTGCGGGGCAGAGTGTGATGCCCCTTCCAGCTTGCGCAAGGCGGCAGGGCTGAAGCGCACGCGATTGGCGAAGCGCCCAAGGCGATTCCTGCTCAAATCGTCCGCAGACCTGCACCCTCTTGTGATGCATGCATGCACTCATTGTAGCGCCCTGGCAGGTGAGTCGGTTGCAGAAGAACGTTTTTAGCATGCACCCTCGGCGTCTAGCTGCACAAAAATTTGCAAAGGCCAAGACGTTGTGAACATCTTGTTAATGCCTGCTTCTGCCGCCGAGTTGTCAGTGCCTGAGGGCATGCTAAAAGGGTAGCGCCCGCCTCCAATGTGGCTGCGCGTGCCTGGAGGAGCGCCAGTTGTGCTAGTGTTTCGACCTTCATAGCCCCAACAATCCTTCGGACCAAACATGGCAGACGCCAAGCTCGCTCTTGCAGTGGCGGCGCCAGTTGCGACGCCCTGCCGAGCCCCGCTAGCGGCGCTGCAAGCGCCCATTTGGCAACGCATCCACGCCAGCGCGGAGAGACGCAAAGAAGAGCTGGAGGCAGAGGCGGCGGCGGCGGCGCTCAAGCGCTCCAAGCGCAAGAGCGAGAAAGCAAGCCGGAGTTCACCCAAGCGTCGCCGCAAGGCCAAGTCTGGCCGCGACAGGCAGAGCGATGCCGTCGAGCAGACAGGAGAGGAGATGGGGTGGCAGCTGGCTGCCAAGACGGGGTCGCAGCTGCTTGTTGCCTCGCCAGCCGTAGCAGAAGACCTGGATAGAGCTTGTCCCGCTTGTGGATATTCCTGGTGCAGGTGCTGGCAGCAAGCCCTTACTCCAGGACACGAGCTTAGCCCGATAAACTCCGAGGACTTCGACCGTCTGTGGGAGGGCTTCGAGCAGCAAGAAGTGGAAGACATCTTCACGGCCAGTGAAGCGGAGCCGTGCGCAGCACGCAGCAGCAGCGCTGGGCCCAAGCAGGACGAAGTCCAGCCAAAGCAGGGCGAAGCCCGGCCGACGGCAGACGAGAAGGTGGGCAAAGGCAGTCGGCGGGCTAACCCCAAGCCGCGGAATAAGACGCGAGGGAAGAAGTCGGCTGAGCCGGCCCCGCCGGCAGGCCCGCAGCGGCCAGAGGGCCAGCGCAGCCGGCGGAGGCGCCGCGTGAAGACTTGGAAGGCAAGCCGCAGCGAGTCTTCCACATCGTCTTCTCGCACCCGCGAGAAGATGTGCCTGGGCGAAAGAACCCAAAGGATTTGACAAGACAGGAATTTGCGGACAAGCTGGACAGCGTCTTCCAGGATGCAACCCGCGACAGCGCGGCGCAGATCTTGAAGCTGTCTGTCTTCCAAGAGCTGCACGAAAACGAGGAGCCGCACATGCACGCAGCGATGCAAGTCTCGGAGCCCATACGGCACACCCGACTGTTCCGAACCTTGCGCGAGAAGCATGGAATTTTTATCCACTTGGAGACGGCCACAGGACCTACTGGGGCATTGTGGCGTACTTGGCGGTGCCGTCCGAGAGCAAGCCGGACGTCGACGCCAGCCCGTGGCTTAGCAAGGGCCATCCGCCTGTGGTGGAGCTGCTCAGCAACATCCCCAAAGGAGCGGTGAACTTCGTGAAAGAGAGAGTTCGCAAGTGGCTGGCAGAGGTGCACGGCATCAAGCTGGGCAGGGCGCAGCCCCTGTCCCACGGGCAATTCGTCGACTACATCGTGGCCAACAAGATTTCGGACAAGTCCATCCTAAGAGGGATTCGCCTAGGTAAGCGGCCAGCGAGTGTGCGAGCCGTGCAAGAAATTCTGCCAACCAGTTCTGCTACTGCAC